TCACTTCGATATGCCTGACATTGTTATGTAACAATGTAGTAACAAAACAGTGATCTGATATAAAATGGCCCTCTGCAGGTGGAGAGAGGAAGAGTTTATCGTCGTCACGTGTAATAAACAAATCAGGAGTATGACCAGATTCAAGGGTCACGTGTTGGATCAGATTTCTCGAAAAACAACTATCATTACATGTAAATTTCGAAGCCATTGAATTTTCTACGTCATTGACATGGATATTAAAATCACCACAAATGAGTACTGGCAAATTACAATGTAAATTAACATCTAAGTAATTTTCAAATTCCTCAAAAAATGTGTTAATAGGAATGGGATGTATGGTTGAATAAGGACATCTGTACAGTTATCAACTTCACTTGATTGCCTCTAAAACCAACTGTCCATTCAACAAACTGAAAAGATGCCATCTCCCCAAAGTTGGTTTTATTCACCTTAAACAGGTCACTGCAAAAAACACCACCAATGCCCCCACCTGATCTATTTTGTCTGGGCTGATTGTTAATGGAATAACCAGGCAGAAAGACAGTGATCAAACTGCAAAATCATTTTCTTTAAGCCAAGTTTTGGTAAGAATACAAAATCAATCTTCTCATCATCAATGATATAATCGCAAAAGGTTTCACACTTATTTCTGATGGACCGAGGGTTGACTATATAAAGGCCCATTTGAATGCAGGAACCAAGCTGCGAGCCTCAAGATTTGGATAACATAAGTTAGAAATTCTCCAACCCATGTTAGCAAGTGTTGTTGAGTGATGAACTGTCTTTGTGGTAAACAATAATGGAGTAAACATGAATAAGCATGTTTAGTCCGCCTACATGTATATAGCACCTTTTGTGATCATGGTGAATGAAGACTTGTGGAACACAAAATAGTGAAAGGCCTGTGCAGACTGAGCTTGTACGTTTCCGGCAAAAGTTGGTATGATGGTGAACAGATATTGCAATATCCTAGCCTTGGTAAAATTTGCAACGGTCAGCAACGCCAGTAATTGTATGACAAGTAGGCCTACTTGAAGTAGGTGGATACCTCTGGAAAAATTCTGATCCATCCAGATAAAACAACTCCCTCCACGTTTTGGCAATTTGCAGCCAAAACACTGCTTATGAGGTTCCAAAATCTGGTCACTCAAATCGTCTGAGAAGAATAAAGCAAGAAAAATATAGTACCTTGTCCTTGGTTTGATGAGACAGCTACCGAATAGAGCTTCGCCCACTGTGTGTAAATGTGTCAGAAGTCAAGGTGATGTCCACGAGTTCACACAAAAGTCACAACACAAAGTATATAAACAACAAAATTCACTCCCAACAGCCACAAGAATCATCATACGTTCAACATCAAAGCAAAACAATGAACGATGGTTAAAAATCAGCGTTGATAGATGATAGAAACTAGTTAAAATCGATGAGGAACAGAGCTAAAAATTCGAAATGGCAGCCGCTCAACAGCGCCCTCTTAAAAACCATATTACTTGCATAAATACCTCTGTAACTCAAAATGCCTGCACGTTTACCCTGTACCTCTGTTCAACTCAACTGATACATGTACATGTATGAAAAAATTAAAATAGTACTGCCGAAGCAAATGTAAAGAGACTGCAAAACCGTTTCATGGTTACAGCATGCATACAGCACACTGTCATGTGATAGGACAAGTTGCAATCAGCGACGTATTGAAGGCATTTTCTTTGGGGGGTGTGCCAGGGTCAATTTGCCCACTTGTAACTTGTTTGGTAATTTAGTCCATGTAATGCTTGAAATTAATAAAATGCAGAGGGGATGTTTTTAAGGGGGTTTATAAGATTTGCATTTGCAGTAATTTTTAGAAATTAGCAAATTTGGGATTTTTGGTGATTGTTATTTACTTTTAGTACCAATTCATTGATTTATTTCACATTTTGATTTAAATTTTTTTTTAAAATCCAGAAAAATGATGATCATTTTTTAAGTTCAAGGAGCAGCTCCTGTAAATTTTCGAGCAAAAACCATGGACCATCGGACCACAGGCCGTTGTCACAGAATCACCTGCAAGGCAGTGGAGATCAGGATTCGCAGTTCTCCGACAAAAATTTGAACCCCATTTATTCAGTTCGAGGATCGAACTCGACAAATTTATATTGAAGTTAAACTCTCTTCTTTTGAAAATATAATGATGTAGCGTGGATTCGAAATATGAACAACGCTTGATCATGCAGCTGCACAACCGAATTGCGAGTCACAGCACCTCAACAAGCTTGCACGTTGTACAATCATCATGCAGTTTCTTTACTGCACATAAAAAGGCACTCTGCCTAGTTGCATGGTCACTGTCCAAACATTGTCATTGCACTTAAAAAACCCAATCCAACAAAAAAATGAGGCAAATACTCGAGTATTATGGACATAGAGATCATTTGTATAAACAGGAGAATAAATATCTGGAAATTGCAAGTTAAACATGGCCGTCGCAGTGTACCTCGAAAACAAGCGGCCGTGTTTACTGGCTTGGGTATTAACATTATCTCTGAAGGGGTGATTACAAGACAGTATACTTTTTTGCCAGTGCAAGCACTTTTCCAGTCCGAAATAATATTTTAAAATGAAATGAAATTCTTCTTGAGCTCACCAATTACAACTTTATATGAATTTTGACAGTTTACAACGTGTTTGAGTTGTGGCCAAAAGCGTGTTCACGGATGTTTTTAATGTTACTTGCTCATATATCGCACGGAGGAATAAAAACATATCGGTAGGCTCTTCCAACGAACAAGCACGATTCACATTTTTTAAACTGAGTCAACTGACTGTGGAGAGGTATTTTGCATGTACATGTACGTGTGGAGCTGCTCAAACAGTTGTGAGATTTGAACGAATTACATTTTCCTAAGATCGTCCGGATGAACGATTTTTGAAAAATGGGCAAAATTCCGCTAAAATTCAGTTTTTTAAAAATAACAGCACTTCAGCCCTCCCAAAAAATTACAGATCGTTTGACTTTATTATGTACATGTACTTACTTTCCGCATGCGCTCAGTTGCAAAGTTGCCGCTAATTACTAATCGGATATCCATTGTTCTTGAATTTGCAAAAGTTTTAAGAAAGACAAATTGTGTTATACATTAATCATTTCCCATTGATAATTAGTCAGTCAACAGCATTGATTTAAAACCTAAAAACAGTTGCAAAATGTTATGTGCTGCTTCTGTGTACAATGTTAATTGTCCCAAATTTAGTTGTTGATTCTGGATTTCTGAATCAACAACTAAATCGTATGCGCGTTGCAAGCGGTTATTACGTGCACAGTCCCATGTAATCGCCGCATCGTACAGGAGGTTACTGCATCAGAGCACATAGCATAATTATGCACTTTAATTTTCTTTCAGACACAACCTTGGCAGCTGTAACTTTGCGCATCGCACTTTTTCCACCTTGAGCATTTAACAAGAATTATCCAGGGAATATTGTAGCTTTGGCACGCCTGCAGGGCAGTGTACTAATTTATTACGCAAAAAAGAACCGATTACAACTACAATTAGCAGAATAATCCTTAATTAAAAATACTCCAGGCGGCTCCGCTATACTTCTTTATCTATTTTTTGCTTGCAATAAAACACTACAGTTTCTCTAAAAACTGAACGTACAAAACAATTTTCCACTCATGCAGATCCAGACAGGCCGTACCCCGCGCACACCCGCAGGCACCAGTCCAATGGTGATTGCCAACTTGTGCATTTTACCCATTCCTCTTTACAACGACAGCACAAGTGCAAGTACATGTACCTTGGAGAAATGCATACTACACAGTAGGCTGCATTCGCACGATTACTCTTGCTACGGTATCCGAGTGTGGGTGCACGCGCATTACTCTCGGGTCAGGCGGATACTCCTATTCTGTGTGTTGAGAGGGAGTATACTCTTGCTGACCCTCACCCCGCCCGCCTGCCATTCGTGTGCTCGGGAGGCTACTCATTTAACACGAGTACAGTAGCTCGCTCGAACGCAGCATTCACGCGTATACAGGTACACAGCCTCATGTATGTAAGGAAACTGAGCGGGATGTGCAGCAATCGCGATTCGCCACGACTCGGACGGGCACCTGTAAAAATGCACACAGGACTCGGCAACCTGACTGAGCCGTAGGATGGGCAGATTCAGAAAAACAAACTGATACTAATCCTGAGTAGGCTAGCAGTTATTTTGTAAGCATTACACCGTGTAATGCTTACAAAATAACTGCTAGCCTACTCAGGATTAGTATCAGTTTGTACAACTTCAGGGAAATGCTGGTGGCCGACTGGTCGATGTACGTCAATAATTCATGACGTCAATTTCAGTTTCACTTGCCGATTGACCCTTTATTTGCTAACTGAAAAGAATTATTGGGGGGTACAACACCCCCCCCACACCCCCCCGCTCGCTACGCCGCTGGTTGCAATATCCAGTCCGTAACTGTAAGATTGCATGATCACGTGACCACTCACCCAGGTTGTGGTTTGTGTTGGGCAGCACATCAGTGCTCATGCACGTGGTGCAAAATGACAGGAAACAAAGATTTGCTACACAATTTGGCTTGTTTATTGTCATTTTATACATTGACAATGAAACACCTATAGGGAAGACCTGTTAAAAAATTATGGAAATTATATTTTTAACTGAAAAGCACAAGGACAAGATGTCCGTGCTTGCAGTTTTGCAAGCTATTACCAGTCATAGGCACAATTTACCGCTACTTTAATAAATTCAAAGCAAATGTAACAAATACATAAACTGAAACTGGTAGTTCAATTTTTTCAGTATCATTTACAGGAGCAAGTTCTTCAATATTTTGATATGATTAAAAATTGAGTATTGACAATACCAATTGTAAAGTAATATCAAGAAATCAGTAATATTGATATATCAGCAGAATTTTGACTTTCTTGACAGGGTATACACCATATTTCCTGTACTGTATGTATTTTTAAATCAATAGGTTTAACTTTATTTCTCACTTTTCTTCTCAGATGTACATTCTTCTTGAAGAAACTGTCGTGTATGCAGCCATCACCTCAGTGATACACAGTTTGATTTCCAGTTGAATGGCCTTCAGTTGAAAGGGTGAGTTGAACTCTCTTTGTTATTTGCTCCATCAAAACCAGACAAATTATACTCCAGAAATTCTTGAATTTTGTAAAATTACCATTGTTGTAAGGAAGAGTGCCCATTTTACAGATTTTTCATGCTTGGAACACATTATTGCAGATACTGAATTTACATCTACATGACTTTGAAAAGTTATGCACCATATCTCTAATTAGTCACAGTCCATGAATAATGCACAGTACAAAGGATGTGCATACATGTACGAATTCACGTGCTGATGAAACACCCAAAATATGGGAATCAATCGGCATTATCTGATTTGAAGACAGATGTGTTCAGTCTTGCACACTGCTGTTTAAGAAATGCAGTCTGGTTGATTCGTCACCACTAGTTCCAGTGTACTGAATGTGTTGTGAGAATGTGCAATCATCCAATTAAAAGAATATTTCTAGCCTGGCCTGCATGGTTTTGATGGAGCTACATGTAATTTCCTGTGAAATAAAAAAGTCATTGACAATGAAAACCTTTAGGCAAGACCTGTACAAAAATTATGGAAATTGTATTTTTAACTGAAAAGCACAAGATGTCAGTACTTGCATTTTTGCAAACTTTTTATTACCAGTCACAGGCACAATTTACCACTACACTTTCATAAATTCAAAGTAAATGTAACAAACTGCATAAACTGAAACTGGTAGTTCGATATTTTCAGCATCAATTACAGGAACAAGTTCTTCAATATTTTGATATCATTAAAAATTGAGTATTTACAATACCAATTGTAAAGTAATGTCAAGTAATCGGTAATATTGATACATGCATCAACAGAATTTTGACTTACTTGACAGGGTATACACCAGATTTCCTGTACTGTATGTATTTTTAAATCGACAGGTTTAACTTTATTTCTCACTTTTCTTCTCAGATGTACATTCTTCTTGAAGAAACTGTCGTGTGTGCAGCCATCACCTCAGTGATACACAGTTTGATTTCCAGTTGAATGGCCTGATCAAGTAAAGGGTGAGTTTAACTTTCTTTGTTATTTGCTCCATCAAAACCAGACAAAGCTCGTGCCAGAAATTCTTGAATTTTGTGAAAATTACCATTGTTGTAAGGAAGAGTGCCCATTTTATAGATGTTTTATGCTTTGAACACATTATTGCAGATACTGAATTTACATCTACATGACTTTGAAAAGTTATGCACCATATCTCTAAGTTACAGTACATGAATAATGCACAGTACAAAGGATGTGCATGTACGAATTCACATGCTGATGAAACACCCAAAATATGGGGATCAATCGGCATTATCTGATCTGAAGACAGATGTGTTCAGTCTTGCACACTGCTGTTTAAGAAATGCAGTCTGGTTTGTTTGTCACAACTAGTACCAGCATACTGAATTTGTTGTGAGAATGTGCAATCGTCAAGTCAAAAGAATATTTCTAGTCTGGCAAGCATGGTTTTGATGGAGCTAATTCCTGTGAATAAAAAAATCATGGTCTCTGTTTACCAAACCAAAAATGGGTCTTCTACTAACAATCCTGAACTTTTGTGCTCTATTTTTGAAGTAGAAAATTAGAGCTTTTTTAGTCTTTCATCCAAGTTTTCATTACTATGATAGTTGTATTAGAGCTTAAACAACCCCTAAAACTGTAAAAGTTTTGAGACAGTTTAAAATGCATAAATTATGTTTTGAGAATATGCATATGTGTAAGAATTATTTCTAGAAAGAATGCAAAATTTAGTGAATGCTAAAAGGTTCTAAAATGTTTTCACGAGAGAATTACTCCTTGTTTTTCATACAAAAAATTTGGGGAACAACTGACCGTTGACATGGTTACATATGTTTGTTTCTTTCCATTTTTTTTCTGTGTGATAACTACACCGGATAGTATACTTAAACATGGCTATTATATTGAAAGTGCTGCACCAGATCACTGTAGGTGTGGAACTTCAGATAAAAGCTCTGTTGCCATCTCAATGGATGGAGAACAAAACTGTACAGTACTACATTGAGTCAAAATTCATATTTTGTGGCAGTTTGTACATTTTGTCAATCCTTTCTCTGGTTTTATACAAATGCTCAAATCTGACTGTGATCCAGTTGAGGTAAACTATTTGTTGCTGTGGATTCTGTTAGCCTCAGTCTTTATGCAGTTCATGATTCTAGTCTAATGTTTCTGCCCAAAGCTGAAGTATTGAGCATCAGAATTGGGCTGTTTTAACCACTGCATGTTGTACATGTGGAACATGTAAATACGATCTTGTCTGCATGTGCACAGCTGACATGTTCAACTGCCAAGCGTACCTCGACTCGCCTCTTGATGATGTTTGAACACACTTGTCCCTGATTTGTTTCATACATGTACGCAAAGTCCATGGAAAGGCACTGTGTTTTGAATTTAGCTGCTTTGCATGGCTTCGGTCTTCTCGCATATACATGCACTGTTTGTAGATGCACCCTGGGATACATGTCACAAAGATGAAAGACTGCGGGAAAATCACACAAATACTATTCAAATTACTCTAACCAGTATTTCTCTGCATATGGCTAAGGCATTGAAAGTTGGCTGCTCTCCTTGCTCTTTTTAGAAGTTTAAATATGGATTAAAAACAATGTTCATCTCCATGATCAGAAATTTCCCCAAAAGCTTCAAATAATTTAAGAAACTACCTGAAAGAGCATCCGTTTTTTTCAATAAGTGCCCCACATTTTTAAAATAGAACATCCCACGTGTCTGGGGGTACTAGACTATGATGTCCATTCTAGCTTGGTAAGACAAAATATTTGTAATTTTCTTTTTTCATAAAATGTGGGATACATCACAATTGTCTTTAGAAACAGAAAAGAAATGTCCCTTTTCTTCGGAGTGCACTGGAGGTAAGGACTAACTGGAGAGAAAGTCCATTTTTGATACACACAAAACTTTGATCTTTCTTTGGTCAAAGTTTTTTTCAAGTAACCTGATTTTTACAGAGTTTGGGCCACATGACCTGTATGTAGGCCTTTGTTAATTAAAGTGCATGCAATGAAACAGTGGTAGTGTGGGCTGCAGTCAGCATGTGGTATGCAACCACAACATTAATCGCTCAAGCAATGCAGTTGTCTCACGCTAATCTTATTTGCCCGAAACCTGTAGCAAAGAAAAGAAGTCAAAAAGGGTTCAGTTCAAGAAAGTTCTTGTGTATTACTACAACTATGGGGGGTACTTGGGGTCCAATCATTCCACCTTTCAAGGCACTAGTTACCATTACTTTAGTGAATGGATATCCGCTTTTGAAATAAAAAATTCAAATCCACAATTTTAACCACTTGACGCCAAATGACGTGTAAACACATAATTTCCCATATTTTTTCCACGGAGGATGTTTGCAGTCATTTAAGAATTCTTTTTTCATTTCCGTGGTTGACATATTAACGCGTTGAAGTGCAGTTGCAAGGTTGAAAAATTTGCGGGTAAAATAACTTGTCCCAGCACCATTTAAGCAAATCCGACGTTAATTGGTTAAGTGCAAAGGTTTCACACCGGATGTAAAACTTCAGTTCTTTTCCACAAGAAGTACATGAAATTGCTTCCTCTTCTTTGATCATGAATTCTACCTTGTTGCCATGTATTCCAAATTGAGAATTTTAGCCAAGTTGTGAAGGCAATAATGTCAGCGCTCAGATTTGTGCTTTTGATGGTGCATACTGTCTATTCAGTCCAACTGTTGAATTAAAATTAATCAACCCCTGGTTGATAACTTTTCGAAACAGTGGATTCCATTATTATTTTGGGCTTTTAATTCCTTTTTCAGCAAATACTTGTTTCTGAGTTACTCAGGGTAACATTTTGTAAGTCCCAAAATGCAACAGAGAATTGACCAGGTAAGTACAGTCCCCTTTGAGGACAAGCTTAAACATAGGTCCACATAATTTTGGAATCCACTGTAGAAACCTGTATGTAGTAGAAAAATCCTTGCGGATTTATATTAACAAAAGTAATGACACGTGTTTACTTACAGTAAAATTATCACGAAAAAACACTTCCCACCTAAATTTTTAAATAGATACTCAGTTTTCAAAAAAATACTTAGGTTTACTGAGTATGTTTTGACATTCTCAATATCTGTATAGAACAATTTGAAATCCACACTGAAGAACTCTGCTGTTGTATTGATGAGTGATATGGATTGCGGTAGTATAAAAACATTGACAAATATTATCTTGGATTTCTATAGTTAGCTAATGATTATGATCCTATTTCTTTGCTTCACCTAACAGTTCTGAATCCTCCAATTTCCATGTAATTAGTCATATATTGTGATTGTGCTAAAAAAGGATTAACCTAATCCTGCTTAAATAACATGGAGTGTAAATTGCACATAAATCTTGTCGGATTTGGCAATGCCAAGGGTTAAATTAACTTATTTCAGGAAATAATTGGCACAAAAAATCCAAAGGTTAAAATTTTTTCCATGTTAAAATGTCAGTTGAAATGTCATTACTTTTACAGTGATTTAAAATTGGACACAACTGTGCAAAAATTGAAGTTTTGCTGATGGTTTAATTTTAATATTTTCTGTAACAGTCTGGCTTTTCAACTGCATAAGTGCATCAAGAATTGATGATTTTCACAGGAATACTCAGTGGATAATTGTACCCAAAATCTTTTGTTAAGATCTGTAACTGAATATGCAATGTGTGAAATTTTGAACAGACAAGAAATACAGTTCTCACACATGTTGGAGCATGACAAACTAGGACACAACTTGTAAATTCCCCCCAAAATTCGGCACTTTTCAAGGACTGTTTATCTTTTTGATAGCAACCTCTATACATTTAAATGTATGCTACATTCCTTACCAATCAGTACAAATTAGTGTAAACCTTCTAATGTGTGAGAAAGAGAAACATTGGAGGATTTAGAACTGTAAGTGTTCAGTGTATGCACCAAATGTCTTATTCAGGGGAATTTTGTATGTGTATTTTCAGCAACAGTCAACTGTTGAAGAATAACAACTTTTGAGGAATTCAAGTTAAAAGTGCACCGAGCAGGAAATAAAGTTCAATTCATGGTATTAAGTAACAAAATATTTGGGGGAAGGGATGGGGTGTAAAAATGCACTTCGAAATTTTACTTTTATTTACTCTACATGGCTTTTACTGAATTTCTTTATGCAAACTGCATATAAAAAAAAGTAATCAAAGATATTGAAAACATGATGCCAATAGCTGGATGAAAGCTGCCTCGTGTTCTGAGGAGTTTATATTGTGAAGATTCTCAAAATTTTTAAGAATGTCAATACTATTAAAATAGAATCTATTATAAGAGTGGCTTTCCCATATTTCCAAGGTGGAAATTAACTTTCAATAATCATGCATTACATTGCAATTCATCAATCACTTTAAGTTAATATAAATGTTATGCTATGCGTAACATGTTTATGCTTAATTATACATCTTGAAAATGTTTATGCTTTACGTAGATTAAATTCACTGCATAGATTTCCTCATTCTTTAAGAATCCTTATGTTTTGTCATGACATCCTAAACTTTAACCATTCTGAATCCAACAAATATGCATGATTTCAATGGTCCCTAGGGGTTAGGGTTAAGAATCCAGATTTTCAGGAGTCTAATTCCCCGCAGAGTATGTCAATTATTATGGAATTCAGACCTAAGACTTTGAAACCAGTTGCGTTGACATCAACTGCAAACTATTGGATGAAGTCCTCTTGATTTGTCAGAAAAAGTTGCCTGTCCAGCTGTAAACTGTTGACTCTTGTTAGTGGTAACATACCAGAAATGTCAATTAAGTGAATGAAACCAAATTAAGGATGTCATTGAACTTGGCGGTGTTTACATTGATCGATGGAGGCGTGAAGGCAGGATGGTCAGAGCTTGCAGGTCCTTTGCTCATCCTATTGCCTGTTCACAAGAGGCACTCAAGATGTATTGGGACAGCATCTGAGGAAACTGAGTTCTAACAACCATCATTGGAAAAGGAGTCCTCAGAACTTTAACATCTTTAGTCTTCCCTGTTGATGAAAAATGCTAAATGTACATGTGGTGATGTCAATTATCTCCAAATAATCTCCAGTCTCCAAACTGGAGCCTTGTGACAGTTGTCACGGTGGTACATGTATGCCTACTCTCTGATTGGAAACATCTATCAATTCACATGGAAATCCCATCAGCTTCAGCAAATGCGGACTGGTGATAGTTCATCAAATTGACATCACTCAACAAAGTGGAGAACGGAGACTCTTGAAGTTCATCAAGACATAATGGCATCTCCTTTCCAGTAGAAAACTGGAACGTAAAAGGCCATTACTGTGAAACCTCCCATCCAGTAGCCAATGGAAACCTGTGATAATTCATCACAGAAATGTCTCCACCTAGTAAATGGAGACGTAGACAATTCATCACATTGGTGTCTGTGAAATCAGTAGCAAATGGAGAACTCATAATGACACCAGTCCACCTGCCAGCAAACGAGGAAGTGCATTCTGTCACAGTGATATCTCTCCACCTACAGCAAACAGCAATGTCTGAGAGGGTATCATATTGACATTGGTCCTCCTGCAGCAAATGGACACCTGTGGACAGTTCATCACAGTGACAATTCTCCATCCAGTAGCAAGTGGACACATGCATTTTCAAAGTGAAATCTCTCCGACCACAGGCAATTAATGGAATGCCAACGGATAATCACAATGATGTCTGTCCACCAAGACCTGTAATAGATCACCACAGTAACATCTCTCCACGTGGCAGCAAAGGCAGTTACCATGCAATTTTGATGATGACTCTCCAACCATTAGGAAATGAAGACCTATGAAGTTTTGTTTCCTGAACTGCATGATTGGAGACATTGGATAAGTTCATAATTAAGTGGAGATCAAAGAGGCAGCTCACCTTAAAAATGACCGTCCCTCCAAATACTTGATACATAAAACTCAAGATAAGTAAAAATCCATCACAATAAAAATCATCCTCTCCTGGATATGTTGCTGTTTTGGTTGCAGTCCATAAGAATAATTCTCTGCCTTAGAATATGACTCCTGAAAATATGGTTTCTCTTAAGGCCACTTTAAACTCCAGTAAAAATGTAGTTAATTTGAATTACTTTGAAAGTCCAAGGGTGAAGAAACTGATTTTTTTTACCCGTTGTACGGGGTCAATTGGGTTGGGTGCCATAGCACAGCGAGGCTAAAACAGATTATGTGGTTTCTTAGAGATTGACATTGTATCTTTACATGGGGGAATTGGGGTAGGGTTATACTTTATTTTTCGTTTGGTCTGGGATGGGGTGGTACATTTAGATTTGTTGAGGCAATATGTGCTGGATCCTTGGAATGACCCAACATCAGGGTGTCACTTGGCTGTTACACAGGTGGCTGGTGTTGACAGCATGTCTCTACCTTTGTAGTAAATGGAAGCTTTAACAAGATGAAGTGTGAGGGTGAAATGTTTCTACCCATGGGGAAAAATAATCCACAGCAGTGTGGGAGGGGGGGGTAGGGTAGATTGAGGATTTAATTCTGTGAAATGCATTTGATCCTTGGAATGGCCCAACATCAGGGTGTCAGTTGGGTACAATATACCCGGCTGGCGGTGACAGTGCATCTTCATTTACCAGATGTGGACTCTGAATGTTGGTATTAGAGGGGATCATTTAAAAATGTCTAAGTGCAGTCTTAATACTTTACATTTATTTTCTTTCAATATAGAAGTACTACTGCAGATAATGGATGATCCTGTGTATTGGATGAGCTATTTATGCTGTAAAAATCATATTGAACTGGACATGTACCATTTCTGAGAGACTGCTAAAAAAGAATTTGGCATGATTTTTAACAGTTCTTTTTAAAGGCTAAAAACAGTAACTCTTGAATTCCTACCCAGTTCAGTGTGAATTTTTTAATGTGGGACTTTTTTATGATTTGTTGGAGCATGAATTGGAACTGAATGGTGATCTCATTTTCCTTGATATGTGCTCTTTTCATAATTATACTTTGTCATCAATTTAACTTGCAAAGAGGAACCTTCTTTCAAAATGCAATGTCAAATGATTGCTTCCTTGAGAGGAGATTTCAGCAGCACATGGAGTTGCCTATATTTGGCATCATAAAACACCATTGTTAAATTGATCATGTTCATTTTTTGCTTTTAAAACCAACCACAAGTGATCACAATTCATGTCTAATGATGGCTCCTTTTACAGTAATGAAGACAGTTGGACTGAATAATACGAAGAAGATCAAGACGGTTCTTTAATCTTTCACAACTGATTTATTTCCCAAACTACGTGAACAGTAGTGTCTCTACTAACACGTTCCCTTTTGGCAGTATAAAGCAGAACTTATGGTCAGTAGTGCATGACTGTGAAGTTTGATTTGGCAACAGTGTTCTTACTTCAGTGACTGGCATTAAAAAAGGTTTCAGTGGCAAACACGTAGCCCTGGTTTTGCTTGACTATTCCACAATTTATTTTAACTCGCAAAATTAAGCTGTGCAGTTACACAAAAGATAATAGTCAGTTTTGGAACATCCTTCTAAAAAGTTATTCAACATTGCTGTTGGTAAATTTTCACCATCCTGGCTTTACATTTCCATTTGCTGCAGCCGAACTGCCGAACCGAACCAAAAATCATACGAATTTGCTCGAAATCTAATTTGATCTTTTATCCCGTAAAGGAAGAAACTCCCATTTGAATATGCTGGGTTTTTTTCTGTTTTCACAAATCCTATGATCGTTTTTAGTCAGGTGTGGTACAGACACGACTGCTTTTGGTTGGCAAAAACACGGTCGGAAACTGTCACACCTCCATCGGTAACTCTCTATGGAATTTGAACTCCTAAACAAACATTTGGGGAAACAATTTAGAAAAAAAATATGTTCACAACGAAGTTGCTAGTGGATGGGGATGGAAACATTCATTCATTGCTTGTATTAACATATTTGACACAAGGAAATACTGTATAAGGCACGTTCGTTCGTAGCATGCTCTACGATGTCTGAATGTGCATTACGTGTACGTGTCCAAACCCGAACCGAAGTTTGGCAACAAATTTCCAAACCGTGTCCGAACCGAACCCGAACCAAACCTTTGTGCCTACTTCCAGCACTAGATATTGTGCTTAAATTCTCAAGCCCATTGCACTCTACCCCACTCTACCCATCCTGGTATGTTGTTGTACAGTATACATATGCTCACACCAAAGATGCAAAAATTTAGTTGTGAATTTCACTGTCTCAATTTCGCAATACTGTCCAGTCGCGATTTCGCTCTTAAATTTGTCAGCCCATTGCGTTCCACCATGTTGCACCCACCCTAGCTGTGCCACTGGATAGTGTTTATTTTCATGACAAAAACTTGTATTTGAAAGATGTATTTGCAAAAATGACTCCAGTGACTCCCAGGAAAAATCTCCAAATGGTTTTGGTGATGCAGTGGCCAACATGTTTGTGGCCCTGCTAATAGGAATCTACTCAGGGTGTAAAAAAGTAATGAGAGCACACACTCGTTTTCCTTTTGTCATTAATGTGCTGTGTAAATTAAAAAAAGGCATCACTTTTGCAATCAAATTACCTCAACCGGATCAGCAGAATTACACAATTACACAAAGTTATTAATTGATGGTAGCCAATGGACGCTCAAATGGGATAGACTACACGTCCGGCAAGGCAGGGTACAGGATCAGCATATTGCATCTTTAAAAGATCTGTGTAATCCTAAACCAAATTGGTTTCATTGCAAAAAAAGTAGCAATCCTATTGAAGGCACGTGATGCGTAATCACAAAGTTCTTCTCTAATCAGTTGCTCAAGCTGATTGACATGGCTCAAGCTGATTGACATGAGTCAAATTTGATAATCACAGGGTGGCCACTAGCATTAAGTAAAACTTGCATGCAAATATTGTGTAGATAACAACTGTAAGAGTGCACAAATTAAATGTCTCTCAAATTTGCGCAAACTTGTCTCAGTTCTCACAAGTCGAAGCATTTCTCAATGTATTTGGTGGCTACCCTAATGAGTGAGAAGACAGAAATTTAAACTGATCCTGTGCCCTGTCTTTCACAAATTAAATGTAATTTGAGAAACTAACATGTCTTGTATCTTCCTATCCGCATGTACCGTACAACCGAGGAATCCAGTGAGAAGCTACTTCTGCAACCCTTGGCAAACTACAAGAACTACCGATGGCTGTGTCCGTGATGGTCATGTCTGCAGAGCTCTTATCAAGACTTGGCTAAACGAAACAAAAGGCAAATCCATGGCAATGAGGAACTTGTTTACACATGAACTAACGCTTTCAACAAGTTCAGACAAAATGGCCAAGAAAACTTAAGCAAAGAAATTTTATTTACATTTCAAACAAAACTCCATTTCTTTGACATTAACAAAAGATTGGCCCATTGTTTTTGTAATTTGTTGAATATTTTGTGCATGGTCCCCTTTTTCCACTCGAACCAAGTGTTCTGTCCTTGCCGTGGATTTGCACAGACAAATACCAAAACTAAATTCACCTCAGACCAGGCATATGTTGAAAATCAGAGACTTAAGAATTTGCCTTCAACCAGTTCAGGCTAAAAGGAGTGTCAATCTGCAAAACTGTTTCACCAAGTCTCAGCGGCAGTGGATGCGTATGCATGTGCTATGTATCACAGGTGGCCAGTGGTGTTACACATAAAATCTCTGCTACATCTACGGGGTCTATGCCTCTGTATGCTGCCTGGAGTCGCAGTAAATATCACATCACAAAAGATAAAGTGTGAACAGGCGTAAATATTTTTTCTTTGTAGAAATGACTCTAGAAAGTTGCTTTTGGCATTGGTCAGAAACAATCTTGCACTGCTTGCTGTAAAATTCATGAAATAACAACGTTAAGTTGTTAAATTCCGATATTCAGTGTCTCTCCATCTAACTGAACCCATATCATCTGAATATTACTGATTTAAATTAATGTCTAACACCCTGACATCAGTTACTTTTGCATTGGAAGTTCGAACTCTAGCTTCCTTGCTCCTATCGTTTTTTTAAAACCGTTTAAAGGTGATTTTATCCTTACAATTTAGCAACTTGAATTTTAGCCTGATCTGGTTAACCAGAAGGAAAAAAAGGGTCAGTGTAACCAAACAATTTCAACATGTGCCTGGTTCAGTTTCGTTAAGCTCGTAAGTTTTCATAGATTTTAAAAATAGCATTCTTAATGCATGTATAAACTTTTGAATATGTACACCAGCACATTGTACTGTACTTGAGTTCCGTGAATGGCCGATTGCAAGTGTGCTTGGAATTTTTATGACATACGTCCAAAGTGGGTGATTTACCTATGACACTGTCAGTACATTTTTTTAAAGAATGGAAACGACCAGCATGTTTTTTGTATGCGAATCAATCTTTAATTTCCTTTTACTGGTATCTACAGATCAGGCATGCAACTTGGCCTTTGACAAGAAATGAGGACATTTCAATCTTTACAAGACTTTGTAAAGTGTTTTTCATTTTTCAGTGGCATGAATAAAAAGTGAAAAATGAGGAAATTAACTGATCCGAGGAAAGTTGCATGCCTGTTTAACACTGAAACAGTTAACCAAGTGAAAAACTTTGAAGTGCATGTAATAGATTGAATATGAATGACTTAGATGCATTTCAGAAACTCGTATGATGTGCTGGTGTACATTTATTGTCTGGATTTTACTGAATAAAGAATACGGGTTGGGGGGGTGCGTGTTTTGTGTTAAATACACCTGCTGTCTATTTCGCTATTGAGCTGCACATGCCACTGAATTTTTGGACAAGTTTTTGACTTTCAACAAAAAAAAAAGGAAATTGGAGTAAATAAGCAGGCGATATTTCAATCCAAAAACTAGTGAGGCTGCTTGTATTGAAATAGACAGCAGGTGATGTGTTGGGAGGGGGTCAAAATGGAGTGTACGCGACATTTAAGTTGGAGGTTAAAAATCTTGGGGCTTTCGGAATGGGAACCTAAAGACATTTCTAAGTTGATACATGTTTATATGAATTATTTATGTGAATTTGGGAAATGTGAAATGGAATAAAAAGAGCAGTTTTCACTTGCAATTTGTTTCCTTTGTATGGGTAAGTTTATTTACATTTTTTTAAAAAGAAAATTGACCTTGAACTTGACTTTGGATTTGAACTTGGATTTGAACTTGACCATGAACTTGAACTTGAAAAAAATGGCCAAAAAAAAAAGCACCCTAGCGCATACAAGTCCCCCCTGGTGTGGGCCACGTGTTCCCCATCCACAGGCGCTAACAGGTCCAGTGAGTTGCCCACTGCATTAACTCGCAATCAGTTGTCCTTGATATGTACTATCTCTCAATCAAGTCTACTTCAGGTGAGTGCAACGAAAGTAATGATCCAATGAACTCCAACAACTTGTCTATTTTTCCACCAAGAAAAACGTAAACCATCTCATAACTCCAATAGTTGCAAAATAAATGAGACCGTTCTCACATCTACTTGAATTTCTCGCTGTGATTTCCAACGAATTACAAAATGTATCATGGAACTGATCCCACTGACTTGAAAAACTTTGCAAATAAGTTACATTTCTAGCTTTTCTCTGTTTTTTAAAACATCATTAGATACCTGGTCAGTTCTTCAATGTCCCAATCAAGGAAAACCTCCATGGTTGTGCATGTTTCACTTAGAAATGATGCATATTAAGTAGAAGTGTTTTATTTTTACTGCCGTAATGTGATTTCAAAACTGGTGTCCAGTGGAATAAAACAAAACTACAAAGTAACGTGAGGAAAGGTTTTTAACTAAAAAAAAAATGATTAACTGCAGCAAATTGAGCAGAAATCTAATATCAGTACATTTATTGGCTGAAGTTTTTCTTTTTTTTCAAAATACAGTTTCCAATTGAGATGCGTTTGGAAAAACCTAAGGGCCATCCTGAATTCGAAGCACATTTGCACACAAAAAAGGTAGTCTTAAATGCAAAGGAATACTTTACAGACTTTAAGTTGAAGTCATGTTTTTGCACTCAAACAATTGGTGGGTTTTCTCATCTCTAAGACTCTCTTAGGAAAGTGAACATTTTAAGCAACTATTCAATTGAATTTACAATCACACAATTGCATTTGATTTCTCAAAACTTTTTTAAGTAATATACAGCAACTGCAGTATCACCAAATTATCATTGCTGAAGAAGCTTAAGTGAATTTACTCTTTTTTTTATTGAAAAGCAGTCTGATTGAGCCTTTCGCTGCACTAAGTCTGCTGTTATGAAAACTTTCAATCAAAGGGTTCTTTTTCACCTTGATTTGTCACCATTTCACAGTTCTTGCAAAAAGTAGGAATGGTAATTTCCCCTTGGTATCATTTTAGTACAAATACAGCTGTTGCAGTCCTGGCATGCCTTATAAAAGGACGAACTGTTCAGTGACTCAGTAGATGATGCTGTAGCAACCTGCCCTTCAGCGTCCTTAGAAACTGCGGCATCCAGTGATGCGGGGTTGGCCTGTCCCGTATCCCATGCTAAATTTAATTGAAGTTTTCATTAATTCATGCACTTTCCACATCCTCGTGGTCGTGTTTGAAACCCAGAGTACATGTATCTCATGGCACGTTTGGAGTACGTCTAACATAAACACAGATATTGCACATGCTACCATGCAAACTGAAGCAAATCCCAGGAAAATCCACAAAATAACACCAAATCCTAATTGACCTGACTATGCAAAAGCTCTTCAGCACAACGTAACAGTCCATCTTTTATTTATGTACATACCATGTTTTCCAAAGAGGAAAAAATTACATGCAAAGTAGTGTTGGAGATTGATCAACAAATTAACAAAGCGTAGTCTCAAACTTCAGTAATTTCTCAAATTGATGGATAAATTTATGAGCATTAATCACATCTATGTCTTCGACGCACATGTAAAAAAAAAGACATGCTTGAGACACTGACTGCAGGTTGAATTGGGTTGAATCATTTCTGCAAACCTAACTCAACTTTTCTGTTTTGGGCATGGAACGTCAGGTGCTCAAAGAATAAAATCACAAACTTGCGATCCATCTCAACATTGCTCAATGTGAGGAATATGGTACGACATGCTAAATTACAGAAGTTGGCATTTAACCAGTTTTTTTTTTAAGAGGCTGTGCAAACACAATCAGGATGACAGGGTTAACCATTAACTGTTTACTGAGACTTCAGTGGCAGACATGCATACTCACCACATCTGCTCTATGCAGCCCTATTGTATCGCCCCATGGTAGAGCCTCAAGAGTGTTTGCAAATTACATGTATCAGGTTTGTGTGACAATCAAACATATACTTGTGCTATACAGATGACTTTTTGTGGCACTTCCCTCTTTCGAAAGCCAGCTTTTCAGCTAAAAACAATGATGTCGGAAACTGTTTAAGTACATGTATGTGTGGATTTTCCTGGGGTCTGCTTCAGTTACTAGAGGTGTGTTCCTTTCACGTGAACAAGGGTGAAGACCAAAATATATATCTATGCATGCAGCACTTACAGTCCCAATAGCCTAGGCAGGCCTGCATCAGGAATGTTTGTATCCTGAATACGTACATGTACCGATACATGCAATGACCAACAACTCATGACAATTCAATCTGGCCCAGAATAATGCAGGATCGTGCAAGTCACAATAGTGATCACAAAACTTCGAAGTACACGTACATGTACTTGCTTTGCAGTGGAATTTACCTTCATAACTGCTTTCCATAAAAAAGCAGCTAATAGTGAATGACAGACCACTGAAAGGTTGTGGGCATTTTATGATGTCAACATATTACTTCAAACCATCATTTCATGATGTAAATCATCACAATGTTAGCTCAGGTGGAGGGAACACACCCCTAGTGAAGGGCATACATGTAAATGACCTCATCCATTGACATTTTATTGGCAATATTCGACAGCAACTTTTATCTAAACATGAGAAACTTAAACACTAACTTTTCCAGCTTGTATGTGTACACATGTTCTTTGCGCTAAATGTGCGAGGGTGGGCCAAAGTTTCTGAACTACGTAAATCTACCAGCCTTTCTTTTAACTGGCAAAAAAAAAAAGTATTTCCGATTAAACAGATGACTACCAGCAGCAATACACCACACTGTTCAACTTTTCAAATAAGTGGGGAAAAGAGGAAAATGTTTAGCTGAATAAATAGTCAACTCTTTCTTTGACCATGGTCTGACGGACATGTATAAACCCTAGTCGTCTTATTTTTTTAGTACAGAACATCGGGACATCACTTTTTTTTGTCTCAAACACCTATGTGTAGATAACAGGGTGACTAGTTTTTGGATTTATATTGAAACCAGCGCACAAGTGCTGGTATTAGTTAGCATTTGAGCTTTTAGATCTAAATCTCAGTACAAAACAGCATGATCGCAAAGGTGATTTGAAGGTAGTCATCTGCTTTATAAATCTCGAACTCAGAATTTTTTTTTTTTAAGTTTGAGCTTGAGAATAAAGTTGCTGGCTACTAAACCCTTTCACTTAAAGAAAACTTGGCCCCTAAAACATAACAAACAGCTGCCATATTTACCGGAAATACATGTACATTTGGACCAAAAGGATAAGATGCCCTTCATGCATGGTGCATGATGGTCTTCAGTCTCTGGCAACATCTTTTTTTTATTTGAAAATTGACGTTTCATGTCCGAAAGCCCTGAAAAGTCTTTTTTTTTCTCTCACAGAATTTGCAACTCAAGTTTGCAACACCAAAACATCAACAGATTTTGTATTGATGTCTTTGGATTAGGGTGCGCTGCCAAAAGGGGGAAAAAGAACTGATCAGTGAGAGTTTGATTCACTATTTGATTCAACTTAGACAATCTGACAAAGTGGAATATTTTGATCCGAGTATTCAGCATCACTGCATAAATTCCCATTCTGTTAAATCTACCTCTTGGAAATAATACAGAAATTGGTCAATCTTTGACCATGAAATCAGGTACTCAACCAGACCTGTACACACGGTGCACGTATGCATTCTTCTGTTGAAATTGATGGTCGTTATGGACTTTTTTCCAACCAAATTTTCACTTAGCAGATTTTGAACAGCCTCTCTTGGTTTTTAAACCAGAGACAACAGGATACTGTACAGGGAGTTTAACAGCTTTATTTGCCTTATTACAAGCAGGCTACCATGACACACATTTCAATCTTTCGTTGTGGATACTGAATTCACCATGACCAAAGACAGCTTTCAGGGCTGCTATCTCTCCATCTATGCTCATTTTTTCAGCAATAGTATTATTTGCTGAAGGGCCACAAATAAGCGCTAATGCTCATTTCAAGCGTGTTACTTGATCAAGGCATTGACAATACTGGTAGCTCGAGGGAGGGACTGAATTAAATCGCTCTGTGTTGGGCTTGTCACGTCAAAAAACAAGCCACTTTAACAGAGGAAACTGAAAAAAACTGACACATTGCAATGATCGGCCACCTCATCAAAATGGCTCTGAATGGCCAAATGGAACTCTCTGGAGAATAGACAAACGTCAAGTTGTCACTGTCACAGGACACAGCGGCATTGTTAGCCGTCTGAGGGGCAATGTTATTCAGCTGCTCTTCTTGTCCTTTCTCACGGCTTTCTGAAGCACGTCACTGTGCTAGATTGGACTCACTTCACCCAGCTTTAATAGGGTGTCTATACAGAGTGCCTGCTGTAGCTCCACCTGAGCATAAGGCTACATCTTTACCATGACACAGATGTGTCGAGCTGGCCAACACTGATCTCTCAGGGACTATCATCCCCGTTTGATATTGCATTAGCTCTCCAAGTCTCTGCTTCTGCAGGCAGCTTGAAATGAAGTGCATGTACGAGTACATGTAGGATTGGAAAAAAGCAGGCAGTATAACGACATACTATTAACGCAGACACGATTCTGTGTCACTGAGAACATCCCTCAGTTTTTGTCAGCCATAAGACCGAAATTTGAAGACATTATATTGTTCAATGGAATCAATTATTGTCAATGCCTTGATCAAGTTTTCTCTCCTTAGTAATCCAAAGAAGGTACTGCCAAAGACTGAAGACCATCTATGCAATTCTGTCGCCGTTTATTTAGACTCCTACTCCTTGCCATTTGTACTCTGGGTTTTAACACACATGAGGATGTATTTCCACTGGTGCATGAATTAATACCACAAACTTCAATTAAACTTACCATGGACCCTTTAACCGGGACTGGCTCCCCGTGTCGATGCCACAGTTTCTGTATAGGATACTGAAAGGCAGATTGGCTACCCAATCTCCCAGGCCATTCACTCTACCGATTGAGGGGCACACACACTTTTTTCCTTCTATTTTTCACTTTCACTTTCTCTACCCCATCTTGAATTATGGGTAAGTTCCCTGAAGTCTCATCCTGTGCGGAACTAACATTTCACCAACTTTCTCAAGGTGAATGGCCACCTTAATATTATCTACAATTTGTCATCTGTCCTTCTGAAAGGCAGATGAAAGCTGAAGAAAATTTACTAATGTGGTTTTTTTTTTTTTTTTTTTGATCGCTTAAACTTCCACGCATGAGCAATGCTGCATCAAATTGACTTGAATTAAAAATCAACAAACAGCATTTGTGAAATGACCACAGTTCCTTTGGAGGTTTTTTCACCAGATTTTCCTCTGATTGAGCATGTGACCCCTCTACTATCTGAGTGAACAGCCTGGGCCCATCACCCACCAAGAAAAAAACAGCACATTTTTCCCTTTCAGCACACCAGACTTCTCCACAGCAGTTTCGATGTCATGTCTCTTTCACCTCTTCAAGTGCTTTTGCCGTTTTTAATTTTTAATGCAGAAAAATGGCTCTTACAGACACTATTTTCTGAAAGTGTGAAGCAATACAAAACACTGCAGAGACTATGAGAGAAGGGCACTCACTTTTAATTTCAAACTGAGAGAAGACGTTTTGGGCACATTTTTAAGGACGTAGTTTTTCCTGTTTCACTGACACTTCAAATTCAGGATAGCAAAGCAGAGAGCACTAAGATCAAAAACTGGAAAATGATACGTACACATTTTTTGTACGTGTACCTTTGCTTTCTGTTGAGACTTCATTTTCAGTAACAAGAAGTGTATTCTTGAGCCAATATAAAGTCAAATAGCAAACTTCAACATTTTGATTGAATGTCCCCTTTTAATAAGGGATTGCTTTTCAACTGTGCTGCCTTAGATGGGGTATATACCTGGCAATGTTTTGCCGTTTATCTTTCCAAAAATGAACATTTAGCTGCAGTTAATCACTTGTCTTGATAGGTACGTGTATACTTAGGGTACATTGTGTTCCTTACTGACATTCTGTGCGCAAAACAGCACAGTTTTTATTTGGTACATGTACCATCAAAAATGGGACTCTTGCTTTTTTAATTAAAACTTTGCTTGCGCAAAATGGAACATGTCAATCACAACTTTCCGATGGAAGGTGTTGACAAAGAGCTATACCATGGAAGTAACCCATTAAAGGAGCAAAGAATGCTGACCTTGTATCCAACAACGTTTTAAAAAACAGAGAAAAGCCAAAAAAAGTAACCAATCGCAAGTTTTCAGTTCAATTGATCAAAGACCACAATACCATGGAATTCTTGAAACATCCAGCGAGCAATTTCAGAGCAGATGCAGAATGTCTCATCAATTTGCAACAGTTTGGAGTGGTGGATGGATACATTTTTTTTGGTGGAAAAATAAACCAGTTGTAAGAGTCCAGAGGATCCTTACCCCGCTGCATTGACTGAAGCATCCATGAATAAGAGTTGGACACATCCCGAACAAACCAATCGCAAGTTATGCAGCAGGGCAACTCACCGGAACCTGTCGGCGCCTGTGGACGGGGAACACGCAGCCCACACCAGGGGGGACTTGTATGCGCTAGGGTGCTTCGAGAGATTTTGAGAGTGCCTGTTGGTGAAGAGCAGATTGCAGTGTTAAAACAGCAGCTCTGTGGTGTATAATCAGCACTTGGCACCAACTGCAATAAATTCTAATTGCTTTAAACAGTTTCAACTTTAAAAAGTTTGATCTGACAAATGGATAGAATCTAAAATTTTTCTAAAAGATGAGAAGCAACTTGGGTTTGGAATTATGGGTTGCAATTTAACAATTGACAACGTGGATGAGTTTGAAATGATAAATCACAGGAAATGTAGATACCATCCTAAGGTAATCGTTTCTGAAGAAACTGAGTAAATCAAGTTTCACAAGTATTAATTTTTAAATAAAATGAGGTTTCTTGAAATGTCTTTGTACTGGTAGCTTACCACTAAATTTTGAGATTGAATTTAGAGTTTGTATTTTACAGGTAAACATGGTAAAAGACTGAAAAAAAAAATGGTTGTGATTTATGCCTTATTGATGTTCTTTATCATAACTCCTACATATGGAAATAGACTATTGATTCATGCATTCTTTCCATCATAAGTTGCCCTACATTACCAAAATAGTCCAATTTAAAGTGGTCAAAAATAAATACTGGTTGAGATCTATTTTTCAGGAATTGCTTTTCACATTGCTCTGTAGTACATAAATGTGCCTGAAAATTCAATAAACCTACATGTAACTTATATGCATTGGTTTCCTTTTTTGGTTTGTGCCAGTGCTGATTATACACATTACTGCCAGGTACCAGATTGGTAAATGCGGGTCCTCCTGTTTGGAGTCTACACATGGTTATCATGCTCAGATTTTGGAAGATATTGAAAAAATTTACAAGAATTCAAATAGACACATGAATATATCTACCGTACGTGCACATGTACGTGCATACATTGTACCCTATACAGTTCAAGGTGCAAACAACCCTGTAAGTTTTGTGTTTCACAAAGAAATTAAGATGTACTTTGTTTATTTTCCTAAAAACTTGTGCACTTGACACTTTCTGCAAGCCACGAAGAACAAAGATTCATTTACCAATCCAGTACCCAGCCACAACAGGCAACAATAGGAAATGGTCACTGAAAAAAAAACCAAGCCTCACAAAGAAGTTTTGGAGTGCAGTGCAGAGCTACATGCACAGGTTTTAGATGATAACACTCTCTGTGAACGTGAAAACTGAGCAACGCCTTCAAGTTGTTTTAAGAATTGCTCAGAATGCCCTTGGAAGGCTGAAGGACTTCAAGAATGCACACCATACTGTAGATTACATGTACATGTATAATGAATATTTGACTGAAAGATTTGGAGCTTGTGGTGTGGCATTTGCTTTGAAGAAATATACATGTAGGAATAAGAATCAGGCTGCTTTGAGCGACTGAACAGTAATTTCTTGTTCTTCTGCCAATTCCATTACTTAAAGCGAAGTCCTTCAAAGCAACAGTGTTGAGGCTGTGAGGCTTGGTTTTACAAGTACATGTATTTTGCCATACATGTAAATGGCACTATTGTTTTTTTTCAAATGTTCATTGCAAAAGTTCACAGTCCTTCATCACGGAGTCACTGGTAACACACAAGTGTTCGATTTCCAGTTCTGCGAGATGGATCCTTCAATTTCCATACATCAAGAATGCATACTGATGTCAGATCAAATAATTTATATGTGGATTTCTATGCAGCTCAAATTTTGACAGCATTGGTCGAGGTGATCCAACTCGTCTGGCAGCTTCAACTAATTATCCCCTGATTGTGTATTCCTCTGGCTGAACATCTCCACTTCAATGGCTGAATTTGGCTCCCCGATGTTACAGGTACTGTATCTTGTCATGGCATTGTAAGTTTTCAGCAGGGATGAGATATGGTTGGTGGCTGCCTGTGATGTATGACGAGCCTGGTATCCTGTTGGGAATCATGCTGTGCTTCTAGTGAGGACTTGATGACCATGTTAAAGCCTCAAGTGAGCTGGTTACAGTGTATCCAGTGAATATTTCAATGACTTCCCCTGTGCTGGGAGCCTTTGAAGGTATCATGTCATGTTTCTCTCACACACATATTAGAGTTACACTCCAGATTATCCAGTGGTAAGTGAGGAGCTTCAGTCGGGGAAGACTTAGTCATCCACAGAACTCATCCAAAAAAGGTCATCTGTGAGCTATAGATTTCTTATTTCCAACAATTCCAAGCAGTGCTTTTGTTGCCACGGCCATGTTGACCATGCGTTGATGCAGACATGCATCAAAGTAAAATTGGGCACCATGTATACCATGCTGCAAAGACTGGAAGAGCTCCACTGCTAAACAGTGAAGAACGTCACGTTGGCCAATGGTTGCTGTGTAACTACATGTACGTGCAGAACGGCTCACATATTCAAAGCTGCATATCAACACAAATCCTAGCAGTTACCATTGCGTTGAGATGTCACACATACAAATGCACATCATGGGCAGGAACCAAGTCAAGAAATGCATGAACTCTGCTGCTGATTGCCAGAGAGCAGGAGATTACCAGGGTGCTTCAGTTGTTCCAAGACAAGTCTCTAAATGTCCAGAGCTGCCCTGTATGAAGATTACTTCAGAATGGTATCAGATCTTGACAGCTGTTGTGGGGAGGTTTCTGGAGCTGAACTCAGGGTCCACTTTCCTGCTTGAAATCATGCAGAGGTGTGGCATGTAGATGTGTACCGGCGTGAGGTATCATGGAATCTAAAGATGGAATAAAAAGGGACAAACAATTACATTTAGTGTGTCAGATATATTTTACCAGTCCCCCTTTCATAAAAAATGTGAAGGATGCGTTCCCAACTTTGTGTGAAATGCTGAAACACTTCCGTGAATCGCTTCATCTGTTCCATGTGAATTCTTTTGTGTCCTCATAAGAATTCAGAGGCACATTTGCCTTCTAGCAGACTTCTGTACAGCTGGAAGAGTCAACTTACCGTTCATACTGAAAGGCATCAATAAAAATGGCTGGTACTTATTCATCAAATTACTTGCTCATGTCAACAAGACACCCCAACATGAACTAAAACCCTCCAGCCACAATCTGAAAGAGTGACCTGGATAGTCTTGTCTTGGATGGCCTATTACATGTATGTTCCCTTACAAACGATTTCTTTAGACTATTCACGTCCGATATGACACCAAGGCCAACACTGATTACATAGACCTTTTATATTACACGTCTACCTCCTTGTATGGTAACTTTAATTGGCAACTACATTAAGTCCAGTCACACATGAGCATACCATGTACATGTACTTGGAACATTTGATTTGCACAACACTCACTGTATAACCTACCATGTACACTGTAACTCATGGCTACTGCCATCCATGGTAAATGGTGAGCTAACGCTGATGGCAAACATCTGGTTTACTCAGGAGAATAACAAGGTGCTGGAGTGATGCAGAGCCAGACTGACAAATATCATGGTCTCATCAAGAGGTCCTGCAAAAAAAAAAGAAAATGTAAATATTAAAAAAGTTTAAATCATTCAATGCATAAAAAAAGGAACATGTTGCTCCCAATGCTACCAGTATGTAAAAACATTGCTTTCTCACTTCCCTGCTCAGAGTGGATACTGTACTTGGTTCTGTCCTAGTTTTACCACAAACTTGATGAGTTTACTTCATCCCTCAAAGATGGTCTATATCTACATGGTCCGGTGTACACATGTAACTGTGTTTCCTGATGATCAACTTCACACAGTCAAGGAAGGCTGGGGGGAGCAAGGTGTCAAGGTCAATTTTTGTTCAACTAATGGAAGAAAGGCGAGCTTTCTGTCTGTTCCATTGTCTTTTTCTTAAAAGAGCACATAAAATGACAGTAAAGGTAGTCACACCCCTCAGAAAGGCCATAAAACGTTACGAAACAATGTCAAAATTTGGTTCCGGATCCATCCTTGCGTATAATCTTCAAAGCTTGACAGAAGCTCTTTTGCAACAATCTTCTCATAAGACCTTATTAACTTAATGCAGTTGAAGCATAACGTGTACATGTACATGTACACAAATGTAACATTTACACATGTACATGTAATACATGTACTATCAAGGAAAAGAAATGATCGTCAGTAGGAAAAGGAACCGGAACCACCTTTAGCCTCACGTACTGCTGACATGCATTAAACAGACTGCCCTGTGATTCATAAACAGTAGACTAACGCCGACAGATGATGTTAGGAGTCACACTCACTATATCAATACATCACATTGCCTTACATCTTGGGGTGTACAAAGAACATCCCTTTGCATGTACAAATTACTGTAAGTATGCAAGGCATACCGGTACAGTACCGCCCACATGTACAATGTATGTCCACGTACATGTACATGTACATGCAGTTCCTCCATTCATCCTTGAGGAACGTGCAAGAACCCCACATTGAAATACATGAGTGTGCGAGGGACAAGCATGCGTCAAACCAGGCAAGTCGAGGAGCTCACATGCCTCATGTACATGTAATCTCCCCAAGTCTGCCAGGAATGAGTGAGAAACGTGAAAGCAGGGAAGTGCGAGCAACAACGAGCGAGATCCTCGTGGAGCATGATGTTTGCAGTCCGATTTGACCATAAGGCGCAGGCGAAAGGGTGACTTGACAACTGGAATGATCTTTCCTTTGCTTCTCAAAAGAATCAATTCAAAGAGAGACTAAAGTTGTACAATATTTTTAACATATTTATTCAAAGAAGCTGAAAAAAATGCCTGATCTTAAAAAGATGGAAACAACTGTCATGTGCCAAAAACTCACTTTCAAAAAATGTGTGACGACTAGTGCAACATGGTGCACTAGGTATTGGTTGAAACTTTTGAAACTACTTGTACTTTTTGGTAGTTTTTAAGTAAACTTTCAGTAATTTTGGCTTATCAACATCAAAGGAATAAAATCAAGAGAAAAGGGGCCATATGTGGATGACATGATGCAGTCACACGTGGTTTGACTTCAGGTAACCACACTCTGTATGAACACCTGTGCGCATGTGGGTGTCCAGCAGCTGGCATGTACTCATACATGTACATGTACATGTATGTACATGTGTACCACCTAGAAATGTTTCATGCATGGTTTTCAGCGATATCACTATGATACATGAAAATTAACCTACATACATACATGTACACGTACAGTACTATACAGTTTGGGGCAAAATCATGAGTTCCTTGTTGGTCAACTGAAAATTAAATTCAGGCAATCAGTTTTCAAACACCCCTGCCCCAAGTGCAACTACATTTACATGTTTGAAAATTTGGCCAGCCCAGCCTTACTGATAAACATTCTGAGAGTAATGCAAACATGGCCGTTTTGGGCGTGACTGTACATGTAAGTGCGGTAGCATACAAGTACATTTCCATGCTGATTGAGTCAATGTACATGCACTCCAGAGAAAAAGAATACATCAGCAAGTTGGGAGGAGCAAACGACTTGGCCACAGAGGTTGCAAACATGCACAATACTCAACCACTCATCACTGGCACGCCATATGCTACCACGACAAAACACGCACCAGGACAGTCACTTATATAGATGCCAATGGTACAAGAAGTTTTGGTTGAAAGTCATCTGTTACAAACTTCTTGTATTAATTATAATTTTCCATATACATTGTAATATTGCCATAATATCCCAACGGATTCATTACATTGAGTGCAAGTACCCTTGACAAGCAGTAGAGCAGTAGAGACAAGAAACTGTAAAAACAATTCGAAACGTTGGCAGTCATGTCACAATTGTAGAACTGTCCATAAATTTATGCATTTTTCCAGGCTCATGCTAACATTGCTATGAAAGGGTCTGACTGACAATGTTTTAAGGAACAGGTTTCATTCCCAACGGGAATCTCAATTATTGATTGAATCCTCTGTGTTCGAACTGAAACAGGATGTTCTTGCAGACTTACATGTATTGTTTCAAGGAACAGGTTTCATTCCTAACGGGAATCTCAATTATTGATTGAACCATCTGTGTTCGAACTGAAACAGGATGTTCTTGTGGACTTACCCCCGGTACATGTATTGTACCGTTTCTGTTGTTCATGTATTGTCAACAATTTGTTTCCACATATTGGCCTTGTACAATGATTCAATGTTATGACATCAGTAACGGAAGGCCTATCTTCTGCAAGAACCTTCCTTGATTCCCGAGTGACAAATGCTTTGCTGACAAACACATACATGTACATACATGTAAGTAAGATTTGAAGCTTTGCTTTGGTTCTTTTAAGAACCACACCTCGTCCAAAAGAGATTGATTCCATGGTGTACGGGCTGCAAACCCAGTTCTTATTTCTCAAACACATACATTTTGTACATGTACAGGTAAAAGTAGACGTAACTGCAACCTTTACTCAGGAAATTGCCTTTCATTTTGCAAGATTGGGATTGGAGCATGCAAAAACAAAAAACCCTGAAATGCGAGTCTGATGCACCAACTACATGTACATGTACATGTAAGCCTACACGGCACAGGTCCAAGTCCCTTAAGTAGGCAAAAGGAAACTTTACATGTACATGTATGTTAATCACTGGATGCTGGATGATGTGAAAACACACACAGTCCTGATCTACATATACATGTACAGGTATATGTCTGTAAGGAAGGCTGTATATGAACATGTAGGTCACAGTTATTTAGTTAATTTTTTTCTTTTCCTGGCATTTGTTGATGGTTTACTTTGTATAGCCCTTGTTCTTACTTAATGTACATGTACATGTATGTACATGTAGATGTCCTGTCTTTGTATTGTGTATTTCTGATGAATGCCAAATAAATAACAATAACAATAATTCAAATTTCAATCAAATTGCTTTGACGTACATGTACATGTAAAATGGTTATTTAATCCTCCTTTGCAAAGTCATATTCTTGAACCAGTTGTCCTATCAGTCAAAACCAGTCAAATTTCCCATACATGTATGAGTCTGTGTAATGGGGGAAGGAATTTTTGACTGCTTTTGATAGTTACAATAAAAGGAGGGTTAACAAGGAATTGGTCACTGTTAGCCATATCATGACTAACATGGCAGCTTTTCTTCGCAACGACCACAGCCATTTGCCTGGACCTTACTATGGTTCAAATTAGGACGGTTCAACTTTATCATGCAATCCATTAACATTGTCATTACATGTACATGAGCAAATATGAAAGTAATGACACATTTTGACATGCTTCTTTCATGAATAATTAATTGGCATAATCCCCTGCCCATTTTCTCAGCAGTTTCACATTGTTCATGTTGTTGGTTGTCTTATAAGGCCCAAAAAAACAGAATTACAGGAGTCACAGAAACTTACATCCTTGATTTTGGTTGCAAAGTTCACAAACTGTAAGTACGGTAAGCGTGCATTCTCAAAACATGCTACATGTAGCTACTATACATGTACACTATATACATGTACATGTACATGTAGTTCTACATGAAGGTAGTGTACAGAGAACAGAGCCATTCCACAAAATTTGGAGGGGCAAAAAGAGGGGAAATATAGATATATGTACTGTACATGTAGGTCAGGCATGTCAGGACTTTCACTTGTTCACCTTTTTGAACTAGTTTATTAAGAAACCATTTGGAAGTTCGTTACAGGTACTTGTACATGTACATGTACCTACACGTACAGGTACCTTACTCACTCCCCCAGCACTTTGCACTACAATTACATGGGAGTGCTTTGCAACTTGAACTATTTACTTCTAGTAAGAAATAAAATGCAGTAAAATCTGAACAACTCAGACCTTGGAGGAAAAGCTAAAAATTGTGTCATCTGAAGTTTGAGTTTAAAAAGTTCCTGAATCATGAAGTCATAATAGCCTAGGTATCCATGTAATCCAATTCAACTCCCTCTGAAGTGTTAACATTTTTATGATTGGTTTCCTTCCTTTTTTATAAATTCTAATGGAGCATACTTTTGCTGACAAATCATCGTTTTTATGACATTTTGTGTTGTTACCTGAAAGTTTCTTTTCTTTGAATAAACCGACAGTAAATACTGTATATGTACATTACATGTACCTTCATGAGGCAAAAAGATTCCAGGCAATTTTGGTTTATCATGTTTGCAGCACAATGCACTGCATACAGTCACGGCTTGTTTTCACTTGGGTCAGCAACATTGCCTACATGTACATGCAGACTACAATTGGGTCCGTGACTGTAATTAGGCTATCTTGATAGCCAATATTTGTTGCAATTATCTAATGCTTTTTTATTTTTTAAAGACAATTTATCGGCAAGTAAAAAAAAAAAGGGTGTTTGCCTTTCTGAAATGTTCTGTTGACAGTGGCTGGGGGCAGTTTCAGGTAATGAAATCGACAAAATGGAACCTGTAATCAATGGTCAGGTTGTGGGTACCAGCACCTAGGTACCTGGCACAGCTCTAATTACAACCCATCATTGTGGGCCTCAATAATAGAGTATTTAGAAATAAATAAATAGATGCATACAGTAAACACACAACGTACCTGATCACCATGCGCATGTACATGTATACAAGTATGCATCATGGCAGCTGACTTTGACTTGGTGACTCTGATTACTTCTGATTCCTCCAGCACACACCAGGCAGGATTGGAAGGACCACATGTGGATGTGCTGTTATCTTGAAGACAAAAATATAAAAAAGAGAAGTCAGGATTTGAATGGAATGAGAAACATCTGAATGTGCACTGCGACCACTGCAGCTTCTATCTGGTCAAGTCTTAAAGTGCTGTTCCTCCAGCTGCTTTTGAAACCAGTACGGCACTGAGCATGCCCAGTGAGTGCTTTATGGTTGTTTCTCCTGAGGACGGCCAGAGAATCCTGGCCGAAACGTCGAATTGATACACACCGGTTCTTCTCAGAAGCACACCTCTTCTGAAAGGATACATTTAGTTTCCATGGTGTACTGCAAACCTACAGCTCATGTACATGTAACCTCCACCATGTGTGACTTTGAGCCAATACAGTTTACATGAGGTAATAACGCTATATGGGTTTTTAAGTAGAACTAGATAGGTAAATGCTATTCTGTTCTGTTTGCAGTGAAATTGTTATAAGGAAGGGTCAGTAGCATAAATTTGTGCCAGGAATTTGAGTTACTGGTAATTGTGGGACGGTGAGAGGGGGAAAAGTTCAAAAGGGAGGGGGCTGACACAAGATGCCACTGTGTGGGGTGATGTTCATCATACAGCACATTACATGTATGTTTCCAATTTTTGTACGCGCCCTGCCATACTCCCCCCTGCTTCCAAAATGGTCGAGCCAATATGAGACTAGTGTGGTTCAATGACCACAGATTTCCCTGATGTCTCTCGAAAGAATCTTGATGAGAATAGTCGGAATCATTGGGCCTGGTATCCAAACTAATATCGAACGTTCATTATGCTGTGCCTGTATTAGTGATGTTTAGTACAGTATGTGTGACGTATCGCGCAAATGTACACGTAGCAGCCACTGAATGCAGAAGTGTGCGGCTCATCTCGTGATGAGAGGCAAGGATGGAATTGAAAAAGCTCTGATTTTTTTTTCACAAAAGTGGGTTGCATGGGACTTTAAAATATGTACATGTACAGTGGTACATGTAGTCTATTGCTACCTGTTTTCTTACAGTCAGACATGCAGATAAATTACTGAATTGAACGATGGCTAAATTTCAAACTTAGCCGCGTGTTGAATGTTCATAGTGACATCATGCCGACCTCGAGAATGGATTTTCACGGGAAGATTCATTAACTTCATTTTAATGGAAAGGGATGAATGATGTCAGTGAATGTTTTCTGAATCTTATTGATTTGAATATTTATAGTATTCACAGAAATCAACTGACAATTTATTTCATCAAGGTCCCAATTTTTTTATTCAAAAATCTTGATTTTTCTCACCCACTCTTAAGTTCAGATCAAATTCTACATGTACACTGTATTTTGGTTAGATCTTTCTGAAGTGCAAATAACACAAAATTTTGTAACAAACTTGTGGCTAGATACATGTATGCCAGTGGATTTATAATAATGTATTACAATTTATCAACTTGAGATAACTTCATTAAATGTTTATCTTGGATTTTTTGAGACTTTTTCTGAGACTTTGTAATGTGTATTAAGGTGGGGGTAACTTAGCTGAATTCTTGCCTAATTTCCAAACACTGCCATTGTTGAATTTTGGATGAAATTTCATAGCACTGAAACAGTGTTCACAAAGGTTCAGCAGCATGTACGTGTACATGTACGTAAGTACGAAAGCCATAGGCCTATTACAAATTTACCAATATTGAACCAAATGAATTTGAAGTTTTTTAACAAGAGGCTTGGGAACACTGTATGAGGAACGTCCAGTGAAAGTCAGAGTGTACCACATTGGGAGCTCTATGACATTCTTGCACTAGCCCATGTGAAGCTGTCACATATTTCCATGATGACGATATTTCACTTTTATTTTTAATGCCAAAATTCACTGATTCTAGGAACAAAACCCAAACAAATACATGTACAACAAATGTCTTCCATTTTTTTAAATTTATTTTTCACTAACTAAACATCAAAAGAGCAAAAACTGTCACTTACGAAGGGGATACATATAGGTGTGTATGTACATGTGAATTCATGTCCCGTATATCTGTATATCAATGGTCTACAAGGGACAAGACAGACATGGAAGCTTGGTCAGGCCTGGCATAATGAGTACCAAAGTGTGATGTCACTGTGAACCAGAAAGTGCAGTGCAAATGAATGGAGTCCATGCACATGTTGGTTCACGCGCTGGTTCTCGCGCTAATGCCCTTTACACATTTTGCGTGTGACATACATGTACATGTATTCACTTCGGTACTCTATATAAATTTATGCTTGGCCCGACCTTTATCATGGTGCTTCCATGTTTGTCTAGTCCCCCTGTAGACCATTTAAAATAGTAATACAACTTTTTATATTGATAAAAGGGAACAAACTATTATTCCTTCCACCGCCAGTTTGATTGTTTGGTCATGTTGGTTACATGTACATTACTTTGAACAGTAGAAAAGTAAGATGGCTGCCCATACAGGTCTAGTCTAGTATGTAGTAAGTAGTATAAAAAGGCCCCAAGGCTAATGTCTGACTGTCATGACTGTTGAGATGCAGAATCTTCAAATCTTTTTCAGCTAATGGAACCCTGAAAATATAAAACTTCTTACCGGTTACTTGCTGTTGACATTAGCTAACATTCAACTCCTTAACAGCCTAGTAGCAACATGTAAAATAATTCCACAGAAAGATGAGATAAATTGAAGTTACCGCCATGTGCTTTTGGGCTTCCTGTCATGCGTACTGCATGCCCAAAATTTGTCGTGGGGGCAGGGCACCAATGTCATGACGTGTTAAAGCCGGTTACCAGCTGGTGTTGCTGAAATAGCTTGTAGAGTGAGGGCGCTCAACCTACCAGAACTCGCATACGCGCTTTGCGAATTTTTTAAAATAAGCTTCAGCAAAATAGTGGGCTTTTCTCTTATGTTCGGACACTTTCATAAGGTTTTGCTTTCGTGTATGTGCACCTCAGAAGAAATCTTGGCATAGGGTTTTCCAACCACCCATCGTCGTGCACGTCTCCGGCTTGGCTTCGTTTTTTGCCAAATCGACTTTGAAGTTAAAGCGGCAAAGGACAGCCACTCACCCGCACAAAAAGGCAGACGGCTGAAGATAGGCACAAAGCATCGATCCTACTGACCGATGAGTATATATCTGATCTCTTCTGTAATTCAACTGCTTCTAATATGACTTGCATCCAAATTCCGCTCGAGTTGAGAGGTGTTAAACTTTAGCAAATTCGCCGCACGAATGTTTGATTTGACCTAAAAAAATTCCCATTTGTGTTCGCTTTCGCGCAAAGTAGGAACCGGCCTTTCAATGCAACGTTTGCCTTGCCTTGTGGCCGGTTCATAGTTCAGGTCAAAGAGAAGCAAAACGAATGCCACAAATTGCTTGCAGCAGACTCATTGCCTAAGTTGAAAATGACTTGTGTTCAACTTTTGCCAATTCGAAGCATGAACATTTTTGGTCTGGTGTCAAAATTTCGCGTTCGCGCTTGCTTTCGACTTGCCAAAACATGAATTAGTCTTCAAAACAGAACCGAAAGCACTTAACGCTTTCGAGATTAGAGAAGAGGCTTGCCCTTCTCCACACAAAAAGCGGCAGATTCTGTTTTTATTGAGAAAAACGCGGTTCAGGGAGTGTTTGTGTCTTTATGTTCGCAGTGTTTCCTTTTGGACCATTCAAAATAGTTTCCGTATTGCGAAATGACAAGAGGAACAAGGGATTTCCTTGAACGTGTAAAACGAAAACAGGAACTTAAACTTGAAACTGCGTTTGACTGTCCGGGGTACTGACAAATCAGGCAGGAAATATTACTTTCAGCTTGTTTGGGAAAGGGTATATAAAGGGAACGCCACTAAACTGGCCAAGCAATTTTCTGTATTTGCGCTCAGCCTAAACAGCTCATCATTCTCTCCTCGAACACTTACCATAATCACTTTGAGCTATACCCTCCAGCCACTGAACCGTTTGGGGTGAAAACGATACAAGGCTAGAATATTTGTCACAATATGGCAACCCCGACAAAAGAATCTAGAAGGCTTCAGATCTTGAAGTTGTCATTCCTCTTGGTGATTTTCTGTAAGGCAAGCCCAGTTGCTGGCGGAGGAATCCCCGCTGGACTCTGTGAGAGGATTCACATTGACGTAGACCCCGACTACCTCGGCTATGTTCAAGTCGGTGGGGTCTACCGCCTTCAAAACTTCACCTGGTCCGATTTTCCCGTGTTCAAACACGAACAGCAAAATCTTTACTTCCACTACAACCGTATCACACGGCTCATGATGATCGGACCCAGACAAGGGGAATTGTTTGGATTGGGAGCAACGACAAAGTCTTTTTCAAGCAACTGGCTTCCTTACTATGGCGCCGCACGACCTTTTAGTCGAGTAATTGACAGATGGTTCTACTATGACTATGTTAGAGGAGGCAGGTTTTTTGTCGACTATAGCGCAGTCTCACAGTTGGGTCCTCTCTGCATATCAGACAATATAAAGTTCACACCATGTCACTCTGGTATCTTTGCCTTCAATGACGTAATCATCCAGGAACAAGATGGGGGTAAATTTGTCTTCATCAATGAACTGACTTACTACTTTCAGAAGCTGACCGGTGTGTACAAAAATGTACGTCCAGTATATGATAGAAAAGGTTCAAGTGAAGGAGCCTACCTGTTCTACAGCAGCAGCTTTAATAGTTGGGTGGTGGGTGCGGACTACAACATGGACAGTGGCTATTTGTACGTGACCACAAATGCCATGAGCCCGGAGTTCATCTCGGATAGTCCTACCTGGTATGTCTACACTAATGGCCGATTCCAAGCAAACAACGAGGTATCACTGGACTGCAGGGGAGTGCAGACCAATCAGAGTTGTACGGATCACAATCCATGTCAGAACGCTGGGAACTGCTTGCAGAAAGACGTTGGAGAGTTACTTTGTGTGTGTGCTTTGAACTTCACTGGTCAGTACTGTGAGATGCCGCGGGTAGACATCTGTCCCAGACCAGTCATCACTGCCTCGACTGAGGCCCTGGTTTTTGCAGGTCTACAGGACGGAGATATCTCTACTACGTTTTGCAGCGATGGCTACACTCCGAAGTATTATTTCAGCATCTGTCAATTGCGAACCACCTTGCCAGGTGAGGGTGAATGGATTTCCTCCGGGTCCTGCCAAGTAAAGACAACGCCTGTGCCTATGCCGACGAGACCGGTGCGCCCGAGAACTTCGCGTAGTTGGTCAAGTTGGAGCAGTTGGAGTAGGCCTAGCTGGAGCAGTTGGAGTAGGCCTACCTGGAGCAGTTGGAGTAGGCCTAGCTGGAGCAGTTGGAGCAGCTGGAGCAGTTGGTACAAAGACGACGGTGACTCAGGAAGCCAAGGAGTTGAGCCGTCCTGGCTGTGGATTGTCATCCTCGTCCTTATAATCTTTGGCACAATCTGCGGTCCGTGCATCATCTACGTAGTGTTGAAATGCTACGAACAAGATGAAGACTTTGAACAAAAAGACAAGCCTGACGCTACAGGAGTTGGGGCTGCTGCTGCTCCTGATGCAGCAGCAGACAATCAGTTTGGGGAGCCTGACCAGAATAACGAAGAGAAGATGGAACCTCGGAAGAGTCGCATCAGGAATGTCAGCTTCGTTAGGGTGTTTTCCATTACATCGTTCATCTGTTTCTGGTTTTCGATTCCTTTTTATGCCACCTGTTTTCCCTTAAAATGCGGCTTCATCAGTAACAGTTGGGTGACTTTGGCCCTCTACGGAATCATCGTTTCTCCGATGGCGTACATTTTTATGCTTCTCGAATCAATACGCTCCAGAGAGAAAGCTTACATCAGCAAGTTGGGAGGAGCAAAAAACTTGGCCACAGTGGTAGCAAACATGCGCAATACTCAACCACTCATCACTTGGCACGCCAGATGCTACCACTACGAAACGCGCACCAGGTTAGTCACGTATACAGACGCTCAAGGCAATCTCCAGACCCGAACAGAGACGTACCAAGAGATGGTGGTCACGCACACAGATTTGGAATTTTTTCAGTTCAATTACTGGGTGGATGATTCCGCACCAGAAATAAAGGGCGTGGAGAAATATCGCGTGACTAGGGTCCGACTAGAGAAGAAAATATCCCCTGGAGACCTGGAGACGTCTTCGGCATACTTGGACGGCTTTGAAGCATTCCAAGAGCGAAACAGGCACAAGGACGTCTACATGGATGCCTGGATAGAGCAGAATGTCGCAGGCTTCGAAAAGCGCATCGCGGCCTTCGTGAACGAGAGAACCAAGCCGTGGTGGATGAGAATGCGATACTATTGGCTGACGGCGCTCCTTGGAGTCACATGGCCTTATCGCTGGTACTTTAGGGCCAAAACTGGGAAAACGCATTACACCATCATCAAGAAGTTCTACTTGTCGCGCCCCGACGTAGACGGCATTCAACAATATGACGTCGCATCGGCCGAGCTGGAGGGGAGAGAGCTGCGGAAAAGCATGATGATTGACACCGTTGAGGTCGAGGAACCGTCGAGCTCAGTAGAAGGAGACGGTGAACCACCAGAAGGAGACGACACCGTGGACATTGCTGTGGACACGGGTACGGCTACCGTTAGGGTTGCCCTTTAAAGGGTAGGGCATGCACCAACAGTCTGACTAATATACGAACAGAAAAAAGGAAAGCCACAAGCGTAAAACCTTTACCGTTTTTTCCTTTGTGTTGGAAGAACAATCATCAAAACCAATGCTTTATTCGAACTGCATTAAGTCCGAAGTTTCCGTTCATTTCGATCCTGTAGCACATCGTACCAACTGCAAATATAAATCGTAACTATATCATTGTGGCTTGCGCCCAATTACAGACGGGCGATATAACGTATAGCGATAACAGAAAAAAGCGGTAATGCCGCTTGATTTTTACGTTCATTTATGTTAATTTACGGTATTTTTGTTAATAGTAGGCCTACTCCACAACGATTACAACGCAGCAGGCAGACAGTGACGTCATACCAAAAGAGAGCGCTGATTAACAAGAACGCACAGTCTTAGTGCAGTCTCACCCTTGGAAAAAAGTCGCTCTGGTTAACCACATCGGTTTATCTAGCGACCGCGCTACTTTCCCGCTCTGCATTAAAAAAATTGATAGAAAACCATGTGTTCTATACTTTGGACCGCACGGAATTCCGCTAGCACGTGTAAACGGGCCTCTAGATGACCGTTTCTGTTTCGCAGGTAGATGTAGGCCTAATTGTGTGTACTACATAAATGGGCTTTCTTGTTTAGGCCTACTAAGTGCATTTTTATGCTTTATTTGAGCTATGAATAGCAACTATGAGATTTTAGTTATATGGAAAGAGTTTCCAAACGCCATAACGCTACTGTACAATATATAACCAGTACTGCATACATGTACATATAAAGTATGATTAAGTCATTAATACCGGTTTATAATGTAAAGCAAGTTTTTATCACTAATCTGGGTTGCGATCGGGAAAATGAAGAGATGTCTTAAAAATGTAATGGAGTTTGTGTAGAGATTCTAGAGTGAAGGCTGCCTGGGTCGGACAACGTGGGCTCACTACTTCCACAGACTATTATTTTATGTTCATGCTCGACAGTATATTTTGCTTGATATCTGTTAGAAGAATTACTTGACCAGGCTATTCGACAATTACGACGGAGGTGTTTGAAACAGCGAAACAAAGGAAGATTGTTGGAAACAATACTGAGTAAAGTTTCGTTCAGTATATAAATAATTACAAATGTGTAAACCACACATGAAGCATCCGAACAAAAAATCAGTCATCGTCGATTAGAAAATAAATTAATAAAAACTGTCAACAATTCTGGCTTATCGCTCTGCATTTAGGAAAATAATTAAGTCTACTATGGCGGGAACAATGATGTAAACTCTTCGGCACTTCCGCATTATCGACATGGTTTTCGTTTACAGTAAGTGGAAGTCCGGCCTATATATACTGGTCAGAAAAATGGAACTTGTAGTTGGGGAAGGGCATTGATCGACAGTAAACTTCAACATAATCGCTGAAGTCAAATATTAAAGTATGCTTTATACTTTGTGTACTGATTTTTGTCAAGACTGGGACTTCTGACGAATCATGGTAATCGCCTCGCCTCATCTGCATGAGCCCGATTTTACTTACAGTTATTGAAAAACCGAAACGGAGAAAGTAGCTTGCACACCTCCCCTGGCCTTTTGACTGAGCGATCAACTCATTACAGTTCGGGCCACCCTTAAATCTTCGTTTTTGTGAAGTTTAGGGAAATAAAAAAGGAAGTTTTTATCTTCGAAAAGGGGCACACCACAAAGACTGCCATGTTTATCTGTGACAACCCGGCGTGAATACTTGGGTATAATGAAAAACATGCACGAAATCAACAAAGAAAAAAATGGAGATTTCCAGTTACCTAGCTCAGTGAACAGCTTTGATGAGAAGGAAATTACATTCTTGCAAAAAACCTTTAATATCATCGCAACAGAACTGCATGGGCCTAGATTGCTATCCGTTACACGAGCTTGTTGGTTCAAATACGTTAGGCAGGCTATTTGGCCTATTTGTTTTGTGAAATAGGCCGAAATGCACTTGGTGGAAATTTGGCACTTGTTTTAAAAATGCTGTCAGAGCGCTTAATCTGCGGAAATTCTGCTTAACCATGCAGGTTTTTATGACATGAGGTATAATAACTATTGCATATCCCGCTTCAACAGGATTACACGAGGCCTCAAAACGGAAATCCTAGCAGTCACCTAGTGTCTTTTTACAGGTAATACGTGCGTATAGCAACGTCGTTTCGACGGGTGCTACGCCACTGAATATTTGTGGTCAAATGCCACAGTGTCAAAGATGAATCAGCGGGTGAGGCAGTGGCAGCACAGGAGTCCGCTTGATAAAAGGGCTATCCACTGCCTTGGTTATCTGAAATAATAAGTACATAAGAGTTATACATGGGACGGCTGCCCACCGAATACTGTTGAAAGAAATGCGACATCATTAGTTTCGGCATGATGACGTCATAGAAGGTGCATCAAGCTAGAATGAGAGAAATATGGAAGGGCTGTGTCGCACCGTGATCAGAATATCGACAAGAATATAATATCAAATCAGTGCATCACATATTTCAGACTGATTTGATATTAAGTTAGAATAAGAGTACCCCAACGTCGAGTAATGACCACGGAGCTCAGATGTGTGTTTGGATTACGTTACTCGGTGCCAGTCAAGTAACATTTGGGAGTGTCTCTCGGTCTGATCGTGCCGTAGTAACACTCGACACCACCATTAAGCAATTCAGCTCCACCCCTACCAATTCAAGAAAAGCACATTAACTTCTCTCAGACATCCGGCCACAAATCAGTACAAACTTAGAACTTTATGAGGCGCTCTCTATGACTTTATATTCATCATGCAATTTGCTTTCTCTGCAGGGTCAAAAGTTATGCATACGGCATACACGCCACACCGTTTTAAGTAAAACAGAAGAGCCAATGGTTCACGTCACCGTTCGCTTGCCATTTTGTTCTTGATTCTCCCTTCGTAATCGTTCCGCTGACTTCCCACTCGGCCCATCTCTTCTCTTGTTGGAGGAAAGGTAGAAATCTGATCTTGTTTTGGTGAAAGTTTCTTGTACAAAGGAGATCACCCCAATATCGGAAAGTGAGCCCTCCACTTTGTCAAAGTAAACAATTTAAAGTTCCCGTTTCTCCAATTATCTGTTAGCGAAACAAATTTGTCTTTGTATAAAATCGGATTTTAAAACCCTAAAGCACAGGGACCGTCCAACCACGATCAAACATCATTTCCAGTGCACTGTTGAAGAACGTCTCTGTGGGGTTGAAACCAGACATAAACACCCATATATACCGACAACTACTACTAGAGAGAACATCGGTAGTCATGACAGCAACCGACTTCAACTAAGAAAATAGCAAAACATCCAAATGTTTGAAAACTAACTTTTTCCTTAACGTTTTTGAAACATTCAACAAGAATGTAGATATCAATATCGCCTGCTGTGAGAAGTCGCAGGATCGAGTAAATTTGAAGTTTTCTAGAAAAAAATGCAACTTTTGTCAAGAAATTACATAACAATTCAATTGAATCTTAATACCGGCGGCAAGATGGTAAAAAGCAGGCCCTTCCCCTGCAATTTACAACTCTGTCGCACTTTCCTGTTTATGCTCATTTACGTCCCTGCTGACCCTGCAGGTTCAACAAGGACATTGTGAAGATAGCTAAACCTACATCAAAAGGTACCTTAGCTTGCAGCCACAACAATCAATGCAGTTCAGTCATCCATAAAAAAAATAAGTGAAATGTCTTTGTGTAACCATAATCAAACCACAGTGAGAACTCAAGCACATGCACATTTCTTGTGATGATCACTCAAACAATACGCTATCAAGCAGAGTCTGGCAAGGAATAATTTGCACCAAGTCAAACAATGCAAAAATGACATTTATAAATAAATACAACATAGCAACATCAACATGACAGAGTTTGTGGGATTTATATTTCTCTCATATATTCAATATATCAACTAAAACGTTATTACAATGCAAATACCACTATAAACACATCTTTCACAGAAAAAGAAGCAAAACAAACGTGTTTCATCTGAAATCAATTTCATAAAATGTAATCATTAAATAGCACACAGAGCATTCTAAAATTTCAAAGATCACTTTTTGTCCAATAGATACATATTTCATTGGCAATAAAACTAAAACATTTTAAACATCCAAATGGAAACAATACATTTTAATTTAAAAATTAAAACTCTTTCCAATTTAAAGGTTTACGCCTATCATCCAGCAAACTTGAGCAAATCAACAAGGCTGACTTGTCCATTTGCTATCCAAGGTATGCAAAGCCAGAGAAGAATCAATGCTAGTTGCATTCATGTATTTGTTAAAGAGGTAACACTTCCTTCCTGGTGCATCCGTATTTTTGACAGTGCGTTCTAAATTCTCTCTTACATTCAATCTTTCGGTTCGCAGAATTGATTCCTTCTAAGCATCCTTCGTCAGAATGTGGCAAAAATATTAAGTGCAAAGCAGGAGCTCCTGAAAACAAAGCCTTACTGATTATCAAGTCTGCTGGACGCTTTTTTCATGTGCACTTTCTGTTTTGCACTAAAACAAACGGGTGTGCAGTGTCCGTCACAGCACAATATCAACAACTCAAAGCAATCAACAAAAATTATTTCCTGAATTGGCTCAAGGGAGAAAATATTTCAACAGCACACATCAGTCGAAAGATAACTACACAAATTCATGTTCCATAAAATCACCAACACGGATAAAATCAACATTCGTTCTATATGTCATATTTACACAGATATTACAATAATTTAATACTTTGGAAAAGTGTACATGTAGATCATTACATGTAGATCATAAAATGTACAATTTTTCTTTTCAATGTAAAAAGATAAAATGTGTGAGAAATCCTGTGAGTGAATAGTACAGTATGTACCTTAGTTCTTAGATTGGTAGGTCCACAGAAGTCAGAATCAATGTTATCTTACAGATATTTGTCAGGCAGTATGCAACATGATCAAGGGCTGGGCCAAGAGCTTCAAAGTGCCAAGACGTTACTGGACTTTGTCACAAAGTGCGAAAATCCAAGGCAAAAGAAATGTCTAAAATGTAAACAGGACCAGCAAATGCATGTTAATTAAGATCTGCTGAGCTCTGCTCACAGCATGAGGTGCCTTACCGGCAAACAAAGCCAATTTAACCTCTCTCTTCTTTCAGACCCCTTTTTATGTGTTTTTTTAATTAAGTGCACTCCCTCAGACTTCAGAGGACTTAGCACTCAGCTAAAATTGATCACATCAATGCACCCTCCAACAAACAAAATTACTTACAAGATAAAAAACGGACAATGGCACGTGTGCATTTAAAAACCACATGCTGTACAGTAGTAAAGCGGTAACGGAGGGGAAAAAAAAGGAAAATTTCAAAAATAAGACACATCATAAACACAGGGATTGAAATCATTTGCAAAGAATGACGTTCCGAACGGAATCTGATCTACATTGCATAGACTGCAATACTAAATTATTATTATACACCAAGAACAGTCTTCTAGGATTCTCTTCATTTAAAGAGTAAGCATACTGATGGGGAAGCAGAGTTTGTCTTCTCTCAGAAGAAACTCTGGTTGGTGGGGAAAAACTTGTGCCCAAGTGGGCTGACCATCATTCAGTGTCCAGAGTCAATAGACAGTGTCATTCAGCACGCTCAACTGTTCATGGGCAGTGCTGCAGGTCACAAGCAAAGAAGACACCGAACAAGTCGACTGGGAAATGTGTTTTAGAGATTAAAAAAGAAAAAATCTGTCAGCAATGACAGACACTTTCAGGAAATGCATTTTTGGGGGGGGTCAACTTTCTGTCAAGCCAACCATTGCACCACTTTCCAGGATATTTCGTCTTCAAAAGATAGAGTTGTTGAAAATTATCATTTGGAGGGCTGTCCAAAGAAAAAAATGGAATTAAATACTCTGCCATAGATAAGAGATGGCGAAGGAAAGCTATGGTGGGAAATATTTGTGTTGGAAATTACAGCTGGGGAGCACAGGAGAGAGGAGGGTGGAGCAAGACGATACTCCTTGTCAGAAAGGCCACTATGGTCACCTCTTCTGCATTGCAGGCACAATGTGAATCTGTCAAGGTAAAAACAAAGAATCACTCTGGTTATTCTTCACGATCAATACGTCAATCGATGAGGCTTTTATCTTTCGAAAAACTAAGATTCTGACTCAGATAAGCTCAGAGTCAGACAATGGTTTTCCATGCACACCGACATTCCGTGCGATGACAGGGAAAGAGACTGTGTTCAAATTGCTTGACTATGCACATTTTCATTGCAGCCTGACATGATGTACCTTGTGCACATTAGGGTGGCAAAGAGGCTGTGTCGGAATCAATCGGCTATGGCTGTGGAACATGGTGGGAGCCGCTGACTAGGGCCTTTCACTGACTCACATGTTATCATAAAACAGCCAGGTAATTTGGAGACAGCCAATCTTATGCCTACTGCAGGCAGTACGCACAAACTAGGGTGCATCTGTCCATTGACGGAGACTCTTGGGAGTGAATGACACCTCCCTATCCAGTGTGTCTGCGCAGAGTACACGGTGCTATTCTGCCAAACCACACAAGTGTGTATTTACCTGCAACTGGGGACCCCCTATTGTTCCTCTTTTGTTTGTACTTTAACTTTTTTACAAGATCGCCCATATGTTTTGTACACAGTTGTCAATCGGGGACCCTCTGTCAATCGGGGACCTTATTGTCCTCTATTGTTCAGGGTCCCCAATTGAATGCAGAAACAAACTCAATGACCCTCACAGGTTCAGGGGACTGTACAAACTTAAGCATACTTATTCATAAACAAACTTCAGCTGAGAGACAAATCAATGTGCCAGCCAATTACACCTTTCAAAGAGCAGGTCTTCAGAGTCTGGTCAGGCTGATCTGGAAGAGCACAGCAGAGGAAAACCTCATCTAACCTAGGACCTCGACCTCAAGCCCAAACATGCCTTAACCAATGCATCAGTATCAACTCAAGCCCATGGTAGAGACCCAAACCTAGCCACACTGACTGACTCATATTGGACAGTATGACCCAGTTCCTGAGGTCCTCCAGTGGACACACCCTTATCCCCCCACCACTTCACCAATGCTAAATCAAACTCACGACCCAGACCCAAACCTAGCCACACTGACTGACTCACATTAGACAGTATGACCCAGTTCCTGAAGTCCTCCAGTAGACACACCCTTATCCCCCCACCACTTCACCAATGCTAAATCAAACTCACGACCCAGACCCAAACCTAGCCACACTGACTGACTCACATTGGACAGTATGACCCAGTTCTTCAGGTCTTCCAGTACGCGTAGTCTCATCTCCTCCACTTCGCCAATGTCAGAATCCACTCCTCCAGTGGCTCTGCCGTCCTCAAATTTACCTGAAACAATGTCAAGAGAAACAACAAGATCTTTAATGCTGCCCTGTTCATGCCACTCTTTTAGCCTTCGAAAATCTAATGTTACCAAAAAAGTCAAACTGGAAAAGGAAAAGCAAGACTTGAGCCACACACTGATAAACTCACTTCTGATGGCATTCCAACAGAACAGCTGACAAGTGACCGACAACCATGATGAAGCACCAATAAATCAAATATACACATATATTTTGCCAAAAAATTAATCAAACATCTAGACCACCCTCAAAATAAGACAGGAAAACATTCCTAAACAGCAGTGTACCTGATTTTTAGGTTGAATTCTCTAGCAAGATGGTTATTTTGGGCAAAAATGACTACTTCTGTCACCCAAAAGTGGAAGATACATGTAAGCTGGGTGAAGGTAAGTAATCAGACTTTTGGTAAAAGAACCCCATTTTCAACAGAGTAATTGGGACAAAGCATTGATGGAGAAGAATCCTGGTTCTTACCAACTTGAATGAATCCATCTTCCGTCCTGTTCATCTTGCCATCTTGGTGGTCCCCAGCCTCCAGAATACCTTCCTTCTTCTCGTGCTGATAGCTTGGCAGTACCTCCACAATTGTGTTGTACAACTTGTCACCTGGGTTCTGCTCGTTGCTACTAACAAATTGGAATCTGTTGTGCCACAGTAACACAAAGAGCAGAAGTCAAACCAACTGAAGTACAGCTCAGCTTGGGTGGGAAAAAAGTCGGAACTCAATAGCTTTATCAATTACCCGCAGCCAATGTAGGTGGCTAAGGATAACATTGTCATCAAATGGCTGAAAAAAGAAGCCAATTCACTTCCTTTTTCATTTTTTGAAGAGTTTACTGAACTGGAGATATGCAAGATCATTAGCATGACCTTAAACTACAAAGAGTGACATCAGCAATACTACTGCATTGGTAACCTTCAAGACCTTACAACTAAAAGTAAAATATTAAAAAAAAAAAAAAACGCATGTAAACGTAGGGTATAATGCATTCCAACATTGTTAAGAACTTGATTTGAGACTGACAGATGAGGTTACGCTGAACTTGGCTGTGGAAATGTGGAGATTTTGTCACACAAAAATGAGTGCTTCTGTCAACCAAGACTAAATCAAGCACCTTTGGCTTGGCTTTTCAGAGAACTGTAAGCGTGATTTATTTTGAAAATATGAAAAAAATTCAATGATGTATCACAGTTTTCATGAAATTGTGGGTTCCTTAACCTTAACCACCAAGGCCTTCCTGAAACCTCTGAAATCTGTGACTGCAGGAATTCGCAGTCCTGGATTCTATGCATTTGTACACTAACATCCAACCTAATAGCTACATGTACATCAGTAAAGAACAAACCATGTCCACGCACACATACATGTACTTTAACTCACTCTCTCACTCTACACGTAATGTACTCACTCTTTTATAGTGATTGGAGGAATGAACTTGAATTTTACGAAGTCACCAGCCGAGGGCGTGGTGCCCCAGAATATGTCCTCCCCTTGGTAGGCTTTGAGTAAGGTGTACTTCATGTAGTGGTTAATGGTTGAAGAAACTTCAGCATTGGGGTTGATGTGGGCAAACTGGCGCTTGAAACCCTTTTTAAAGTCCTTGTCCTGAAAGACATTAGGTTTAAGTTGACAACGGTTCAAATCTGTGGTCTCAGCAAGGTTTATATCCTGTGTCAAGACAGATTCCCACATACATGTAAAACAAACATTGGGATTTTTTGTAGAAAAGAAAAACTCTCAAAGTTTCCAGCATTGTTAAACACTATATTGGCAATATTTGCCATCTACGTGTACATGCAGTGGCCACCGCATGCATTCCAATTCTGGTCTCAACTTCTGAGGCTTTTTTCTTTTGGAATATGAGAAAGCCACGTTTTCCAACATTTTGTCTCAGTGTCTGAGTCTAATTCATTACGAGTACCTGACAATACAGTTTACCGCAGACAGGCTAACTATTGTAGGGCATTATGAAACAACGTGAACATCTGAGTACTGCATGTACATGTCTCAGTATTGCTGTTGCATAAAGCCTCACAGTTTGAAATTAATTGTGCCATATAAATTTGAATTTTTGTGTTGGGAGTAATGATGGGCATGCTCATGAGGCTTCCAAGAGTAGCAGCAGTGCATTTGTGTCTGTGTAATACCACACATAATAAGGAATAAATTGTTTGTTTGACTGCAGGATACTACATCCATAGTTCATTTTGAAGTTGAAAACGGCATTCTTTGAGGCAATCACTGTGTTGTGAATTACTCCTATTGTGATACACGGCAACTGCCCCCCCCCCAAAAAAAATGCCACAGTTGTCATTCTACCCATATGTTGGTTTTTCATGCCCACACTTACATGTAGAAGCGTGGCAGCCACGCAAATGGTGGCCAAAGGTGAACAATATAAATATTAGTATTACACATTGCCTCTTGTTTGCACATTTTGACACCCACTGAACATTGCATTTCTGAAGACAAGTACGTATACGTATAGTTCATGCATCCAAGAATGAGCATCTGTGTTGACAGAACACACCCTGGTGTACGCAACCTGCCTGGCACACAGAGTCTGTTTGTAAAAGGTTTGGGACAGAGTTCCATACACGAGTGTCACTTGACACTCTCTGCACAAACAGATTTTTAAGGACATCTTATCAATCGTTGGGGACTGATAAATCACTGCAGGGGAACACTGGTGACGTCAGTGTAGGGAACTCTTTCCTATGTTTTCAGGGAGGATAATATACATGAACAAGTCTCGAGAACAATCATGACCAAGAACCCAGTCCACCATCCAGCAGAATTTTACTGGATGATTAGCCATGAAATTCTGACAAATATTATGAAAATTTCATTGGTTGAATTCTCAACAAGAAAACGTCATGCCCAAATGCCACAGTTTATGATTGCAACAATGTGATTTGGAGCACAATCAACTGGACGTTACATGTACATGTGGAGTGTAGCTGCCCCACTCGGTATCACTGAAGTGCCACAAAGATCACTGTTATACCATGGTACCGATAACGCAGGAAAGTTGTGAATTAGTATTGATTGAAAACTGATCATGTGATATGTTACAAACATGCACGTACCGGATCGCGAGAATATGAGCATTGTTCGCCATGGTACGGTACATGAGCAAGGCAATCAGTCATGCTGGTACCATGTTCAGTACCATAGGTCCTGTATATGAGATGAACTGTGGGGAACAGTGAAGCACTATGTCTGCTATAACGGCCACGTTTTTATTACCCTAATAATGTTGGCAGATAACAGCAGGTTGGGTTTTGTAAGATTTTTCTCTTGTCCCCTCCCCCCCAAAAAATCAAGAATTTCATTTTTGAGCAAGAAAGCATCGGCATGAAGAAACATAAGGAACATTCTGTACGCGTGCAAACAAGGTTCCAAATTCTGTACCACCACAGTACGGGCATGACGGGGAAGACTCCACCATTTCAGATTATCACCTAGGACAGAATTAGGTAGCTTTCTGGAAAATTTCTTCGGAAAAGTGAAGCAAAGAAATGCAACGCCCTGGTAATTATTCAATTTAGTTGAATTTGTTCAACTAAACAATTTGTTGGTGAAGGCAATGTTAGTGGGAACAAAATGCATTGTGACCGAGTAAAATGTACTCACCAGGCGTGTTCATTCCCTTGCATTTGTAAAGTCTATTACTGTGGTACCAGTATGACAACACAATTCTTACCTGTTGTGTCAGGGGTTCATGGTGTTTAGTACACCCTTGGGGGCAAATGGCACCTTTGGCTTTGCCTCGGGGGCCATTTATCCCCACAGGTGTACAAAATACTATGGACCCCTACGTAGAAGGCAATATTTGCATAATGTCTACCTACATATATCTGGGCTAAACCATGAAAGCTCATGTACCAATCCATGGCCCTCATGACAAGGCTACCCAGAGCTCTAGACAGACAGCACATCAGCTGAGACGCAGGCAGGAAACTCTCACAAAACAAGTCAGCCTATTCTTTACAAGAAATGTCTAGTGGGCAAGAAATTTATGGCGCACGATGACTAACCTTCAGCTTCTGAACTTTTCCCTTGAGAGATGAATGCAGTCCTATGTGCTGGAACTGAGAGGGCTTGTAACGGATCCGGTAAGCAGCCTTCTCTCTACTGCAGTGTTTCTGCAAGGTGCAAATGAAGAGAGCATTCAAGTCTGGTTTAACGAGGAGGTGGGTAACACAAACAGTTCGGAGCGCTGTGGTGAAACAATACATGTGATGAGCCTGTGTGGTATTCCATCTGGGGATGACCGTATCCCCATTCTGCAACTCTTTTTCCAAAATAAAATCAAAAAATAAAACGGAAACTTTTATTCTCACAAAAGCTGTAACATACACCTCAGAATAACGTATGAATTCAAATTTTGGGAAATTTTGTTTTTACCTGTATAGGATCTTCAAATTTCTACTAAGCTGGTGCTCGTGGTGCTTTAGACTGTTATAATGAATTACTGTATTTATCTGTATAGGAAAATCCTCCACTTAGAAAACATACTGGCTTGTGGGTATACAATGCATGAATTCAGATTGTTAGTCCTTGTGGTTTACGGCTAGAAGAAAGCAATTCAGATTGGGGAACCAGAAATTTTGGAGGGCTGGTGCACACTGCTTTACTACATGTCGTTGAGTGCCCGGCAGAAGGGCGTAAGCGCACTTACGCCCTTTTGCCGGGAAGCATGATCACAGCAGAAAAAATGTTCCCGGCAAAAGGGGATAAGAAAGACACTCTCTTTATTTGGTAAAAACGGATATAATTTACTACAAAATCAACCTGGGCTGTACAAAAAGCAACCTTTGAATAACTTATTAAAGGACTAGGGCATTTTTTAAAAATTTTTTTGCCAAGAAATCTTCATATTTCATTAAAATACAATAGTTGCATACTTTCATCCTTTTGCCTAGTAAAGTTCTTTTGCAGTGATCATGCTTCCTGGCAAAAGGGCCCAAGCACTTACGCCCTTCTGCCAGGCACACGACAATGTACTCTCCTATCTTGGAAACCACAGTGCTTTACCACACTTTTACCCTGGAAACCACAGCACTTTACCACACTTCTACCCTGGAAACCACAGTGCTTTACCACACTTCTACCCTGGAAACCACAGTGCTTTACCACACTTTTACCCTGGAAACCACAGTGCTTTACCACACTTCTACCCTGGAAACCACACTGCTTCCGTACAGAGAATTACTGCCCAATGAAGTTTTTCAAGGAAACCTTTTTGTGAATTAACAATAAATCAATTCATAATGCATTAGTGGATGAGCTGAATACATGTAAACCAAGTTATTGCACATACATGTATGCAGAAATCAATTACGTTCCTTTTAAGCTTTGCATCTGGGATGTTAATTTTGTATCAGGTTTTACCCTCACACCAACATATTCTCAAGCCTGAGCATATTCTCAAGACAGAACATGGGTGCTAAGGGAAAAACCTGATATGAAAAAGAAATGTACATGTACAGATTTCAAACAAATTAGGCAAAGTTAAAATCCCAATTGTTTCCTCTCTGATCACACCAACAACTCTCACGTTTCATGAGCTTTCTTTACTGAAGCACACTGTATCCATCGGCAAATGCGCTATACAAATCTGTTAATCATTTCTAATTATTATCAAAATCAAGGATTTCTATACAACTTGGCTGTGATGAAAGTTGACTGATCTCCATCCATGTGAGCCTGGGGCAGACAAATTACAGACAATATACTTCATACGGCAGACCAGACGTATATCTGAGCAGATGTTGCAATGATATGATTAGACACTTCAATAAACTACTATCTGTTGATTCGATCATGCAGTTTAGCAAATGCAACCTACTGGCATGGAACGAGCAAAGCAACAACCAACATGCTGACATGGGTTCAGCTTACATGTATTTCAAAAGTGCAATTCAACATGTCAGGGTAATTGTATACATAAGGGGTCCATTTTTGTGTATGTCCCTGTCACATCTGACAAATGATTCGTCAGTTCAGAACGAATTCTCTAATTTTCGAGCGTGCTGACTTAATGCAAATTACTTGCCAAACAACTAGAAATAGTTTGAAATCAATTTCAGTGGCATGTTCATGCCAAATTACATAGTTCACGTGTCACAAAAATGTCACACTTTTGGACCCCAAGTTTATAGCATGACTCATTACCGTGTACGCTGTACACTGCATTGTATGCGGTTCGTAAGTGTGATGTCACTTAAGTTTAAACCACGCCCATTGCACACGTGCACTGCACGTAGGAATACATGCACTGATCGCCGTTTACATGGAACCATGGAACCAGACGTTAACTTCAACTTCAGCGATTGTCCAATGAGAGCCTGCAAATCGTGGCATGTCCGCCTTTGTGACGAAGTCACTTATGAACCAGATTATCCTACATGTATTTGGCCCACAAAAGCTACTGTTGTTGCACAGAGGTAAGCATGCCATAAACCTCCACACATTTATACACTAACACTGAATTTGGCACCAGCAACATACTCCATGTTCCAGTGTTTTACAGAAAATGTACCCGGTGATAATTTTGGCAGACGCACGTGCAAATCATTGAGAAGAACAGCTGGCCTTGAGGAGGCCTAAAGATGACGTACGGAGGATGGAATACTTTGTTTACATGTACACTTTCCTGTGGAGCAAGTGGGAGGGGGGTCTACAGTCCACTGAGCACCACAGGAGAGCATGCAAGGAAATATCGCGTCCTCAGTAAAGTGGTCCACTGCCTGCCTAATGTAACCATCATGCTACACGTATACCGAGAAGTCTAGCTTAATACACATGTAGTTTAGTATGATGTGCAGGCCAATATTTCAAGGGCTTAGTTGGTTAGCTTTGGTAAACAAAAAGTTGGTGCCATGTGACTGAAACGCACATGATGTTGTAAACACTTGGCACAAGGGTCTAATACAGTACAGCTGCACAGTGATGAGCGTTTCAGCATTTACCACGGCTTTATTGCACTGCCGTGTTGGGGGAGTAGATGTGAACCCAGCAGAGTTACGGTCAGCAAAATTCAAAGGAAAGTCTGTCGTATACTCACGGAGTCCTTCTCTGGGTTGCACACTTTGACGTAGAGGATGTGGTCCAGTAGCCAATCGATGGGCTTGTCCTGGTGGAACATCAGGAAGAACTCAACAACCATATTCAGGTCACGGGTCTTGAACATCTTACCTGCAACAGAAAATCAATTCACATGAAAAGCTCCCGCAAATTATCAAAAAAATTATCTTAAAAGTTTTGAAAAGTTGGGAATACTTGTAAAAGCTGCGGGAGGGAGTGTTCAACGGCAGGGTAAGTGCACGGTGTGTTGTCTCAAAAATACTCCTGAAGTACAGAGTGCAATGGTGTATGAAAACTTCTGTACACAGCAGCACTCACAAGCTAACACGGTTTACAAAGTTTCATCCATACAACTGCATAAAAATCGGATTAAGAACTCTTGAATTACATGTTGCTAAAAAGACAATTCAAACTGTTCACTGCTACTGAAGGCACAATAATGCTCCATTATTTGGCCACTGTGCTCAACATACACTGACAAAACCTTCTCTTCAAAATAATCTAACTTTATCGCCTGACGCTCTGATCTTCATGTGATGAAGTCGTTAGGATGGTTATTTTGATTTGCGGAAGAAGATGATTTTTCCTAAGGCCATCTGGAATATCAGCCAGTTAATCCCGGCTAGCTCTGAGGTCGAGGGGCAAATCCCGCCGCAGCAAACCACAAATTTTCTTTTTCACAGTCTGCCTGAAGTGATGGGCACAATACAAGGTATCCATCAGCGGACAACCCTTTGTTTACAACTTTCATTACTCCCATAACCCGGCAGTAATGGCTCGTATGAACTCAACACTGCATCTGCATTCAACAAACCCCACAGCCCAACATCTACATGTAAGTACTTGCACCCTTCAACTGTCAGCGGGCCTGATTTATGCCTCAGCTTGTCGAGATCCAACAAGCCACGCAGCTATGATTTTCTTCAAGGCCAAATTAGTTCCAGCCGATTTGATGCAAAGAGATGTCATTAACGAGGTGTTGGTTGGCAATCCATCAACAGGAAATACACGTACATTGAGTACTGGCATTAGCTGCTCCCTACGGTGCTCCATCATCCAATTCTGAACACTGCATATACACCAGCATTTATTTTAAAACAGTTCTGCCAATTTCATTAACAATATAAAGGTGTGAAGCCAAAAAGACAACGCATTCCCACACAAGTCAGAGTATACATGTCCTGCTTAATACACGTGCTGCATGAGAAAGTCATTTCTCAACTTTTGGGTGCATGAAACTTACACAGATATTGCAGACCTGAAAACCTGTACGTTCACAAAACTGCATTCTGAAACTTCAGAAGTTGGATTTTTCAAAAAAAATTTAAAAAAAAACCCCAGTTTTCAAAAAATAAGTAGTTTACCCCATAATCGGATTGACCAACTCCAGATTGGATCAACACTTCTTCATGCATCAAAATAATCAAGCGAGAAATCCGAAAGCAGAGGGGGGGATTTAGCTAGAGAGATACTGGTGACTTTGCCCCTTACCAATAAAGCCCAGAGCAGAGAATTCAAGCAGTAGCCAGTTCTTGTTCTGTTGCTGCATGGCAAATGTCTTCATCGTTGTAAAGTAACCAGGCTGTGCTACCAAATCGTCCTCAAGCTGCCAGCGGGTGGGAGGGGGAAGAGACCAAAGGAAAGACCACAGAAAGAAATATTAATAATAATAATAATAAAGCATTTATAAGGCGCACTATATCTGCAAAGCATTCAGAGGCGCCGGGTTTCAGGTTCATTTCAGGTTCCTTTCTAGTTTTGATTTTGAGTTCAAAAGCACGCCAGCTGGATAGGCAAAAATGTAATTACCAGAATTGTATATTTAAGTTGCAGTGGTTTTTTTTAAAATTTGCTGTGAGTAAACAGATGATGCAGAAAAAGACATCTGTTTGCAAGCATGCATACACATTAAATAGAATTGTACAAAGCTGAACTCTGTGGGGTATAGAAACGTGGCAACATACAATGCATAAATAGAGCAAGGGAGAAGTAGAAAACATGTATGCCTTTATACATGTATGAACGCAATACACAATGAACAGGAGGCAGACTGTTCATGTCAAACAAGGGAAACAGCCATGTCGATTCTGCATATTGTGAAAATTGCACTGAATGAATAAGTGAAAATGCCCCTCAGTCAATCTTCTGTCACACCTTGATGCTGTGTCATACTTGTGTGCAGTTTTTTACTAAAACCACTTATCTTTGTACCTCTCATCCCATACGTATTCTCACAGAGTGCGCCCACTACTTGCCCGTCGTGGGCCACACAGCACATCTTCAGTGTACTACGACAGAATTAGTGACTTCCTCCACTGAGGTTCAAAGACCAACCGATAACTGATATGCAACATTCCAATCATGAGCCTCCTATAAAGTGTGCGCACCACTGACCGCTTGAATGACAAGACAGCTTCTGGAGATATTTACTCGTCATTTCCACTGCATACACATATGTGGAATTCATCAGGTCTTCAAATTGACACAAGTCTGAGGATGTTTGACTTGTGTTGTAAGTCATCAGACCAGAACTCCTAGAAAAAGCCTACATGTAACGTAACAAATGGTCTAACATTGGATTTTCCATTGGTCCAATCACAAGAGGGCAAAACAACCAGTGTGCCCCAAAGTCTGCTTTACAGCAGACCTTGTTACGTACATGTACATCAAGTAAATGCATGTATGTGCGTGTACGTACTTCATTTATGAGGATAATACGCATATAATTTATCCATACCACAGCATGCACAGACCACCAAGTCAGGTGCTGGTTGGTGACACATGACAAGAATCACCAATAATTTGTCTGCAGTGTAAAGTTAGGTGAGAAAAACCTGGGGCGCTGCAGAATGACGGGCCCACTTGCCCCCACTGGAAGTGGCATACGGATAATTTAAAGGTGATTTTGGAGACAAAGCACTGTGCACATTTTGCCTATTTTCAAACATTCTGAGCACACCAATCATACACGTGCCTGGTCAAACCTCTCTGAAAATGCTACATGTAACTTATCTCAGCTGACCAAATACTTGAACCTACATATTTTTAATGAGTGGCTTTGGGCACATCAACTGAAAAAAAGCCACCAGGACTACAGTTTTCTTTCTAAAAAAACTGCCCCTACTTTGCCACTCCTTACCTGAACGTAATATTTTCCTCTTGACTGGGCATACATCATGAGGTATGAAAAGTCTAAATTCTGCTTTGTTCTCCATCTAGGTACAGAACAAATAAAAGAGGATAAAAACTGCACAATTGTGTTGAAAGCGGCAATACTGGAAATGGCAATCAACAAGCATAAGGTCAGATTACTTTAATATTTTATCTTGAGGTCTACTTGAAGTCATCAGCTCAATGAATTGTTTTTAATACAGAAGATAAAATGACAAACGAAATACCACATGAGAATGTGCACAGAACAAGAAAGAGAGAAAAAAAATCATCCCCCTCAAAATATCACGGATTGGCTGTGTTGAAAGCAACAGACAGACAGGAATGAAACAGGGTTTTTTGTCTCAGATCAGATAAAAGTAGATAGGACAAGTTAGTTTTGTTAATAATTTAACTTTTTTAGAGGACCACCCACATGTTTTGTACACAGTTGTAAATCACGACCCTCTGTCAATCGGGGACCTTATCGTCCTCTATTCTTCAGGGTCCCCAGAAACAAACACATACACACTGACAAAGCCTAGTAAGAGTCAACGTATTTCCATATTCTGGTGACTGCACAGTCTGGCATTAGCTGTTTGAAGAGGCTGCCCCCAGAGCCACTGGCTCTACATGTACACTGTACATTAGGAGGGCTACAGCAAAGCTTTCTCCAACTTTGCAGACAGAGCTGAAGAGTCAGTTCACCTTGAAAGGGGATTGCAAGCAAAATAATGTACTAGTCTGCAAGGCAAGTCTATGCACTCAACTGTTGAAAGTTGGTTAATCTTAATCTTAAGAACCAACAATTCCTGCTAGACATACACATATGTACACAGATCTCTTTTGTGTACATGTGCACTGCCAGGCAGGTCCTGGCACTTTTAGAACTAAGTTAGGTTAGTGAGATCTTATCCAGGAGGGCTGAGGCCTTATCTTTACACCCCCATGGAAAACTACTTGTGGTGATACAGAGAGCTAAAGCATGTAACCTGTTAACACATAGCAATAGAAAGTCTGGCTTTATGAGGACAGAGCACATCCAAGTTTCTGCTCTGCATTTGTAATGTCTACCAATCTTTAAGAAAATGAAATTCTTGTTTGTTCGCAAATTTGAACCCCCAAAGGGATGGAAGGAGTAATAACATCTTCTTCCTCTACATTTCTCCAATATCATCACAACATTCTTTGTGCTTATTTTGTAGCAACACATTTTTTTAAATGGCAGCAAACTTTCGTGACATTTGTGTGATCTTTTCTTTTTTAAAAAAATGTCAACTTCCTCCACTGACCACAAAAAGTGACAATGTGGGAGCTGACATGTGACATGTGTGAATTACAAATGTTCATAAAAACTTGAACTGATTATGGATGTCTACATAATAAGCATGCCAAGTTTCATAGAAAGGTTTCATACGACAGCAGATATCGGATATGGGGGGAAGAATCAGAAGTGGAGAAAAACATATTTTTAAGTTATATTACAAATGTTTCAAAAAGGAATTATGTATATAAATACATATTTTAAAACCACATGTAAAAATTCCAGGAAGGAAACATCTCACAGGACATTTTTTGATGAGTTTTAAACAGCATGACATTTCCTGAAAGTATGCTGTCCTAAATGTATTTCCCCAAGCTCTCCTAAACTTGCCAAACTGCAAGTCAGTAAATAAAAAAGCCATTTATTGTTAACTTCCTCTAAAAGTCAAATCAGATTGTGACTGTCTGACCTGTTGGGGATACCACAAAAAATGCACTCCTTATCGTCTGAACAATCTGACAGAGCCTCATCAAACCACACCTCTCTCCTCATACTCAGAACTTTCCTGATTAAAAGGAAAGATTCCAACTGTTTGCAGTGCTTTTGTGCCCAAGAGGATGGAGCGCTCGAGTTGGTAACCATTTCATGCATGTTTATTAAGTGGGCCCTCGCAACAGATCTTAAAACAAGGACAGTCAATTCAATGTTTTAAAACTTCAAGACGCCGACGTGAAGACTGATACAAACAAACAAGGTTATTAAGGAGTATGTGAAGATGACCATCCAGCCATGCTTCAGAGTGACAAGATACATGGGCATCCAGGTCACCAAGAGGAAGCACTGATGCATGCCATACATGCCAGCAGGCAATCCCTAAACTACGCTCACATCTCCACCCAGTGTCCCACACTTACTTCACCCTTTCCTGGGTATCCCCGAAGGTTTCTCGGAGCGTGTTCAGGTCAGGGTAGTAACCTGATTGGGGGGAGATGACCTCTAGAAGTCCCGAATCCAGCTCCGGTTGGAAACTGTATAACAGAGAAACATCGGACAGTAAGTAGATGCTTTGGCACATCAACAGAAACAGTGCAAAGCAAGCACTGGAAACCATGGTCAACCTCAATGAAATTTGCACTGCGTAAGTACATGTATATCCTGTGTGCACATGTACATCCTGTAGATTCTAGGAAGGTCATACTAAAATACACGTAAAGTACTAATGTGTAAAAGTCTCCTGTTCCCATTTACCACTGTACCATCATAAAGCAAAGCAAATGAGTGGCTTCTCATGACTTAATGGATCATCCCAACTAGGCCACATACCAGTATATGTACTGAGTAAACATGAAATCCAAGCCAAGTTTGTCTTGTAGGGGTATACATACATGAACATGTATTTTCCAACAATCTTTTTCACGCAAATGCCAATACAACTTAACTAATACCATAGTTGGCTTTCTAAGGCACATGTAAGATACTGTACTTGGCAAATCTTTTAAATATGTGTACCCCTGTACATGTACTGGTGCTTTCCAAATAAAGGGGGACACTGAGTGGACCATGTCATCCTCATATGTACCAGTACTGAAATATGTACATGTACTGTTACCGTTATGTGCATAGGTTTTTTTTAGCAGGCTAATCAATTGCCAAACATCTCTCACAAGATCTTCCAACCATATGACAAGAAGATTTTTAAATCCTGTCAGTGATTTCAAGTGAAGTGCCAAATTAAGTGGTTTGCATGCACGCATGCATGATCACAGGGACACGGTTGCAGGTCTGGAAACCAGAGTGGCAGGATCTACCGTATTACGGAACTTTGGTTCATTACAAAGCAATGAAACGGGACAGGACATCTTCATGTACATGTAAGGGATGCCAGTGAGTCTGCATGAAATCAACCAATACTGCGCTACACGTACATGTTATTCTGCTATCATAATTGAGGGCTGGGGTACTTCAAATCAGTTCTGGAGAGCTCTTTGATAACTGCATGATAGCAGTACCTGTCCAACCCTTTTGTGAATAAGCATAAAACTAAGTTGTCAGAAAAGCAAGATGAATTTCCAATATGGAAAAGACTAGTTCACAGAACTTTCAATTTGTAATGGTGCAAATGGTAAGTGAAAGATAAATGTTGGAAATGACATCACAGAGGAAACACATGTAAATGCACAAGGTTCGTGCCAAGTATTTTCATGGGAAAACACGGTATGCTGAGGAGTGATTGGTGAAAACTGTGACTGAAATGCAGCCAGAAAGAAAGGTCAGAAGACAAAAGATGATTTCCTTTCAAAACTTTAATCTGTGTCTCTTTTGTTCCTCTTCTAGAATACGAGCAATTCACAATAGCATGTCTCCAAGAGTTTGCAAAGCGTTGGCCAATCACAATGCGCAACATCTGTCGACCCTTTCCAAACAAGCGAATTGGGTCGACAGATTTCGCCCACTGTGACTGGCCAACGAGTTGCAAACTCACGGAGGCGCGCTACAGTGAAACGCACGTATTCAACTAAAGCTTTCAATTTCCAAGAGTTAAATGCGTGTCACTCACAACAAATAAAAAAACATGCCAAAGTGATGGTTGTGTCGGCTTCAGGTACAGGTCCGTGTACTTGACATAAAACATAAAAGCGTGTCGTGTTAGAATGTTTACATTACATATGTCTTACTTACTTGCTTTTTATCATAGAGGCTTCTTTTTGAACGTATTCAAGATCCACCTGATGGAAAAAAAGGATTGAAAGAGCAAGGGTTAGCAGTCACAGTAGTAATTCCTCTATCTGCAAGACAGCTTGGGGAATGCGAAAGAAAAACCAATCACAGGTTATAAACTATAATGTATGTGGCTGGAAAGATTGGAAAACAAGGTGCTCACATGTGAACTTTAAACTCAATGTACAGAATCATGACTGCCATAAACTCCCTGCTTAAAGGAAAAGAGTAACTATTCAGTGCACTTCAGCAATGACCCGACCCCTAATGTGCCGTGCATGCACAAAGGATTACATGTAAGTGATGACAGCTTTTGCCTTGTAAAGAACCTAGAGGCTCAAAGCAATGCAATCGTATAATAAAACCTTGAATATGAACCTTGCCGCTTCAATTGATCTCATTTTCCATTTTTGTTTTGCTGTTTTGAAAATCACTAGTTTTTATGCTAATGTGAATTTCTTTACTCACGAACAAAACTACATGTACATGTATGATGTCATTCCGGGGTGAAACCCACACTATTGCATAGATTTGTGGAAAAAAAATAAAAAAACAAAAAAATGCTGAAATTTCTGACATTTTATATTCATTTTTCTTTTTCTTTGGCGATTATTGTAGTGTAAGTACATGTATCAGTACACATACACAAGTACACAACAATAAGCCAATGAGCAACCTTTTACCAGAAATATTTTCATTGTGAAACCAAATTTTTGGTTTCACAATTCAAAGAAAACAAATTTGTGCATTGAACAGTGTTTTCCCCGAATGACATCGCAGTAACAGTGCCCTCGGTTGTCTGGCACAGCATTGGCAATTTTGAAATGGTGGAAAAAGTGTGATGTTCCAGAAGGATGTCAAACTGATTTCAGGCATCAAAGTTGCACAAAAATTCACTTATTCAGACGACCTTGTCTCATGGCCCCTTCCCATTGGGCCGAGTACCGGTACCTCTAAACTCATGTACACTGAGCAGTAGTGACGAGTATGATGCTATCAACACACCTCTGCAATGAGGACTACAATTAAGCAATCCAACTTTTCCTCCGGAGACAAGCCGGCAACCAGCGAAGACAGCGTCTCCATTAAATAGTTCTCCACATCTCGCTTGATGGTTGGCACACCGATCACTATGGAAACTGCACAGGGGAGAATAAAAGAGCACTCCATTTTAAATAATTATGCATAATCATGAATTATCACAGACCCTCGCACTGTTGCATGGACCAATGCTTTTAAGCATTTGCATGTCAGTCAAAGACTTCTTAAGCAGAAAAGGGTTTAATGATCATAGCCCATCGACACACTGAATCAAATGATTTAAAATGTGTAACAAATAATTGGAGTTAAGGTTAGATGACAGGAAGACAATTTATGACGAGAGAATGAAAAAGTACCGTAAATTGGGAATACTATTAATGACCTACAGTACATGTTAGTTCATCCAGCTCACAAATTTTGTCTTCAGGAAGGAAAAGAAATTTGTATACAAACTGATCATTATAGAAGTAGTTTAATGCCATCAGGTGTGTTGCTTTTGAATAACATCAACTCAAATTTTAGGACAGTTTCTTATTTTATTCACTGTAATTGTACATGTACTTCAACTTTTAACTACATTGATCAGTCAAGGTCATAGATGAGATCCATATATTGTAGTACAAAGCCTGACTACTTCAGAAGTACATGTACCCTGTACAGTGTACGTAACTTGATGCCATCAGCTATCCAGGTGTTTAAAGGTTTTATGGTCATTCTAAATTGAACTGAAGGTTTCATTTCAGTCCCTGTATCCTGCATATGCATGTGCACAAATCACTGTCTATTGTTATTAAATGAGACTCTTTAATCATAGTGTACTAATACTGTTCACTGTTAGTCATTTTGCAAATCCAGTACGATTTCCTGTGATTATTTTGAATTATTAGTAAATAAAGTCATTCAAATGTTCTTCTAAAGCAATCATCAAACAACACCAAACAATAACGACTAAACAAAAACGAGAGAAAAAATTTTGTTTTCACTTGGAAATGAACACAATATTTGAGGTCTGGGCAGAGTTCATGGTTTCCAATAATCCAACTTCTGTAGCTTTCACAGAAATCCAACATGCTTGGGAAAGCAGTACACAGGGGTTGACAAATCCAGAGTGGTTGGGGACAGTCCCGGGGAATAACCAAGAGATTGCTTTCTGATGCCCTGATAGGAAATACTGTACTTCGTACATGTATGTACGTTAAGGTAGGGCATATACATATCACAAATGTGGCTAACAAGGCAGGGTACACTGAAATACAATGCTTCCCGGATAAGAAGCAAACACATCTCTTTGCAACAAAATCATAAAGTAAATACTGTTTTCTGTCTCCTTCTACTGGGGGTCTGTTGGACTTCCATAACTGTATCGGGTGTTAAACCACAAGCTGCCTACAGTACAATGCTTTGTTCACTGGAACTCAAAACCGATGACCAGCTACCGGTCCTAGTACTACAAATAATTATGATGTGATGAAACATGTACATGTAGAGTACATGTACATGTATGTGTACATGTAGAGTACATGTACATGTATGTGTACATGTAGAGTACATGTACGAGTGAGAGTATTTGGGTGGATATTGGCCTTCACCCAACCAATCATACTAATGACACATGTGCATGAGTCATCTCATGAGTCGATATCAACTTATTTCAGTTGAATATAATTTGATGACAGCAATATTTTTAATTGAAGAGGCGGTCCACACAAACATGATACACGATGAAAGGTGTTCTCTGAGTGACGAACGCCGTTGTTTTTCTCAGAGCAAACTTCCCCTAGGGACAGATCAACAGCTTGCCTGTTTTCCAGTATGCCTAGTAACTAGAGGCAAATGCTACAATACAGTTCTTTTACCCTCAGTGCGCTCGCAAAGGTCTAGCTTGAAATGTATCTGGTATAACAGCCAGGATGGCATGGCTACGGTATGACTGACAACTCATGTATCTTCCCATGCAATCAATAGCCAGTGGTGAACGGAACAGGTGGTGAACTTACATGAAGATTCACAGGGTAAAGCCTTTAATGCAGCTTAAAGCTTGATACAACATTGGCAGAATCACATGAATAAACACTGGTTGGGGTACATACATGTATATGCAGGGAGATACATGTACACATGTAGATGTACACTATCAACCAGGTACGCTTAAAAGGATTTGCCGTGCCAACACTATTTAAAAGCAGCTCAGAATTAGGGGTTAAAATTAAGTGCAAAAGTTGCCTCCGCCGACAGACTGTTTCCACCGCTGAAGTTCTGTGACGTTATCATGGTTGAACTTCTGAAAGGTGTCTGAATCATGACTCGTTTCTCTCCTTGCTTATTTGTGTTCTGACAGTTTGTGCTCAACTGAATGGGCATGGGAAGAGCTGGCTTGAATACTGATTCAGAAAGTTTCCTTTAACATTATAACAGTGCTGAGCATGCATGTACCTAAAGCACGGCATGTACTTTTTTTGTTTGTAACACATGGTTTGTGAAAACAACAGTGTCAAATTTTAGCATGGTTTTAGATGTTTCAGGCTCCAGGTAAATGACTCCTGTGTGGCAGCACGCGTAGGCGGGATTATGGTGTTCTTAGGCGTGATGCTTTACAATGAGTGACTCTCTTTGTCAAAGCGCAAAACTTTACATCTGTGAAATATCAAAAACCAGTAATGCATGAACATGATGACAGAAACGGACACAGACAGTGAGACACAAAATGTGCGGACATTATCACCTTTATCTGCCACATACATGACATACCACGATCCTACAAACTATCCCGACTGAGTTCAAAATACTTTCACAAACATAGTTCCCTATTGGCATTCACTATTAAAATACCACAACCGGGTATAACAGCATTATTACCAGGATTGTCGGCTTGTTCATTCTTCGGCAGACTTGACTGAGCACTTTTGCTCTTGTTCAAACAAATGCAGTGCATTTTCATGACACGTCTTCCATATGATGTCCACCTACATGTATTATTTTACGAACTGGGATAAACCACAACCAAGATGTTTTTTGACTTTCATGCAAAGTTCAATGGAGACTTGTTCGTGTACCACACTTACCAAGTCATTTCACAACAACAGAATACATGTATGTACCGTAGGTATCATTGTGTACGGTGAACTTCCTGGAGTGAAAAATGGAACCTACAGGTATATATAAATTAGACCTGTGGATTGGCAATACTG